AGATAGTGTAGAATCCCAGGGCAGATGACTGGGACAAAAGATAGGACCAATTTCTCTACAAACACCAGATGCTGTAAATGTTCGATAACCGATAAAACTAGATTTCTTCAAAGGTGTCAAAAATGAATCATAGCACAGCCAGCTGATGTGTCTCTTTAGACAAATGTTTCATCTTCTTAAGGAAAAAGTTTCTCTCTGGAATGCAATTTCACAGACATAATTACTAACAACATTTTTTGGTGTTCTACAAAATGTTTTTTTTAAACAGCTATTCTTCAAAATGTGATACATACAATATATGACCTGAAACAAACCAGAATTTGGTTAAACTTGTATCTCCCAAGACTAATGCTAAAATGAGACTTTCTTTTCATTTATAGCTTGATTTATTTGGGCAAGCATGCTCAATATGTATTATTGTTGTTACCATAAATAAATTTATTAAAAATCATTTTGACAGTTAAAATTCTAAAGTCTTATGTAAACCTACACATATTTTCAAGACTAAAAAGGAGAAATTTAGTTAAACTTTCATGTAAATCTATCTTGGGTTCATGTGAACTTGAAATAAGTTGATGGATAATGCAGTATTTGCAGTATTATTTGAAACAACATAATTTTAAAAAATTTTTAAACATAAAATTCTTTAAGAGGTGCAACCTATGTCTAATTTCAATATTTATATAAATTAGCAACACCCATCTGAGACCATAATTTAACATTTTTCTCTTTTAGTAGGATACATGCTTTGCATTCTTTATGCTTTCGTTTATTTTATGGGAAATACAAATGATTTTAATAAACAAAAAGTATAAATACAAAGTGTCATTCCTTTCTAGTCCCTCAGTATAATAAGTAGCTGTAGAAAATATTTTTTATTTATGAAAACAATCTGAATTTCTCTAATTTTCAATGTACTGAATATTAAAATGTTGCCTTATACACTAAAATGGTAAATAATTAAGTATCAAGATAATTAAATAATAATTATTCAAGTGCTGTCATAACAATTTTATATGTGGGAAATATAGCAGTTAAAAAATAAATGCCATGGAATATAAGGATAAATGTTTTATTCAAAAATAGCATGAAAGCTATTATAAGGTCCAAATAGTCTTTCTTTATAGAGTAGACAGAAAAGGATATAAAAATTGTGTTATAAAAACACTTTATACTGTCAAAGATATCTTTAAGTAATTTTAATTATGACAAAAAATTTTAAAGGCAAAAGAGAATTCCCAATTTTCTATAATAGAAAAAAATTGGATAATAAAAATACATTATATTTGCCTGTGTGTGCTTTATAAGTTCATAAGAGTGTTTTCTGGTGATATACATTAAAATGGAAATTGAACTATGAAACTCCATTGTATGGCTTTGGAAGAGGTTGGGGACTTTATAAGCCTATCAAATAGAGTTGGCAACTGCAAGAGGAAGGCTGCCTGTTATAATAAAGGGCCTGACTCCATTTTTTATGTTTGCTGATAGCTTGCAAGCCTCACCCTTTCTCCTTCTGCCCCATGTAGGGTCACAATGAGAAAGTTTGGTGTGCCCACCTTTGGCACTGGCAGGAAATTCAAACCACAATATGGCTGGGCCCACGGGTGCCAGAACACTCACCCAGATTGATCCCCTAATCATAATAAAAGCAGAGTTGGTCTCCTTTCCTTGCTCTCACAAACCATTTTTGGATCAACTTGAAAGATTGCCCTGTTCTCTCCAGAAAGTCCAGAAAACCTCATTATGTAAGTAATAAATCTTTTCTTCACCTCATGGTGTGTGTGTGTGTGTGTGTGTGTGTGTGTGTGTGTGTGCGTGCACGTTTATCAAATCTTTACATCCAAACCAAATTTTGGGTGTATCCTCATTCTGTGGGATAACCATAACATCTATCTGCCCAGAACAACCTGATCTAAAAATATTATAGCAAACTATTTAAGAAAGAACAGTAATAGTAATATTTCATAAGGCCAATTTATACCTCAAATTGGTGGGTGTAACCATACAATGAGGGCGCAGACTTTATAAGATTGAGTTTACTATGCTTACTCCAAAGTCTCAAGAAACATTGATTAAGTGTATACCATGTCAGTCACTGTGCTAAGTGCTGGGATTAGAGGCAAGATATTCCAAAGTGTATAAAATACACTCCCTTTCCTCAAAGAGGAAGCTCAATAGGGACACACCCAACTCTAACACAATAAACATTCTTGAATGCAGTAAAGTACTATAAAAATGATTACTTCTGCTTGAGAATGATGGGGAAGGTAGTATTTGAGCTTGCTGTTCATAGATTCACAGATTTCTATTGGTGGGGAAAGATAGCCTGGAATGGAAGAGACAAGCCTGGATGTATTCAGGAAACTGGAATGATGCCAGAAGGAAAAGTGGTGAGGAGGAAAAGTAACCACATTTCCCTTTTAGTAAGATAACTCTTAGGGTAGCACAGGAGTTCATCAGAAGCAGAGGACAGAAGAAGGAGGGCCTATGAGGAGCCTCTTTTAATAGTCTAAGTGGGAGGAGAAGGCTTAAAGTAGGGCAGTCACAATAAAAACTAATATAAGGAAACTGAGGAACACTTCTGAGTTGGCAGGACTGGATACATTGAATTTTGGGATGTGGAGGTATAGTTTAAGAAATGCCTCCAGTTTTTAAAGGGCATGAATTTGATATTTATAGAACAAAAAATGGTATACCGTGGAGTTAAAAGTGATTTTTTAAGTTTATTCAGTTCTAAAAAGCTAATCCTATCTAATAATAGAGAAACATGGTAATTAACCGTAACTTCGCTACCCTTCCCATTGGCTAATCAGTGAGCTATGCAAATAAGCTGCCAATCAAGATGGCGGCTGGCAGCCAGGCAGCTGAAGCGAACTGGAGGCTTGCTTGCTCCAGTGAAGGAGGAAGCCAAGGTTCCCCACTTGCCGCTGCCGGCCTCTGAGCTGCAGTCTAAGAAACAATGTTGCAATTATAGGAGGTAAATAAACCCCAGAAGCCTGCTTTCAGCCATCAGAGCTGGAGCGAGCAGGACTGCAACAGTGTTACAATTATAGAACCCAAACAAACCCAGATAACTGCTTTCAGCAGCCGAGGACTCAGAGCTGGAGCCGAGCCTCAGAGCTAAAGCTGGCTCTCAGCTCCAGTGACAGCCATAGAAGGTAAATAAATCCCAGAATAAAAAAAGAAAGAAAAAAAGGAGAGGTTGGGAGCTTCAGTCACCCGCCAGCCTGAAAACGGCCCTCAGCCCCTCACCCAGACTGGCCAGGCACCCCAGTGGGGACCCCCACCCTGAAGGGTGTGTGACCAGCTGCAAACAGCCATAATCCCCTCATCCAGGCTGGCCAGGCACCCAAGCAGGACCTCCACCCTGATCTGGGACACCCTTCAGGGAAAACCAGCCGGCCCCCACCCGTGCACCAGGCCTCTATCCTATATAGTAAAAGGGTAATATGCAAACTGACCCTAACAGCAGAAGGACTGGGAATGACTGGTCACTATGACACACACTGACCACCAGGGGGCAGACGCTCAATGCAGAACTGCCCTCTGGTGGTCAGGGCGCTCTCACAGTGGAGGAGCTCTGCTCAGCCACAAGCCAGGCTGATGGCTGTCAGCACAGCGGTGGTGGTGGGAGCCTATCCTGCCTCCTCAGCAGCGCGAAGGATGTCCGACTGCAGTTTAGGCCTGCTCCCCGCTGGCAAGTGGACATCCCCTGAGGGCTGCCGGGCTGCCAGAGGGATGTCTGATTGCCAGCTTAGGCCCAATCCCCCGGGGAGCGGGCCTAAGCCAGCAGGTGGTCATCCCCTGAGGGGTCCCAGACTGCGAGAGGGCACAGGCTGGGCTGAGGGACTCCCCCTCCCCCCCGAGTGCACAAATTTTTGTGCACCGGGCCTCTAGTAACAATATAATAGGTACCAAGTACCCCAATGCCTTTAACACAAGGTACTAGAGCAGTGGTTCTCAACCTTCCTAATGCTGCGACCCTTTAATACAGTTCCTCATGTTGTGGTGATCCCCAACCATAAAATTATTTTCGTTGCTACTTCATAACTGTAATTTTGCTACTGTTATGAATCGTAATGTAAATATCTGATATGCAGGATGTATTTTCATTGTTACAAATTGAACATAATTAAAGCATAGTGGTTAATCACAAAAACAATATATAATTATATATGTGTTTTCTGATGGTCTTAGGCAACCCCTGTGAAAGGGTCGTTGGACCCCCCAAAGGGTTCGTGATCCACAGGTTGAGAACCACTGTACTAGACCATGCTCTGAAAGATCAGAAAATAGGTGAGTGCTAAGAGATTATAAAACTGGTTTTTCCAACATTAGCCTATCATATTCCTTGAGGCTATACAAGGGAAAGGAAAGAATTCATTGATAAATTGCGGAAGAGTGCAATAAGAGTTTTTTTGGAGAAAGTTGTGTGCATGCTTGTAGGAAACAATCCTCCACCCCTGCCAGCTCCAACACACTCACAGTCCTGGCCTCGGTCCCTGCCGGTAGGGGAAGCGAGGAAGACTTTGGAGAGAGAGGTATGTGGAGAGCTATACCTGCAGCCGGAGCGTCAGGTCAGAGGCACTGGCACCCCATTCAGCTAACGGCATAGCTAGATGGTCCGACAGCAGAGGATGCTATGTTAGGTTGAAATGCACTTTCAGAGTTTGCTGTGGGGAAAGGATGAGTGCGTTTCCCAAGAACCCTCTATGGACCCTGCGAGAATATCAGAGCAATTCCTTTATTTTAAGAACGCTCTGCCTCGGGAGATCATCGGTCTGTCTTTAGGCACTTCGCCAAGCTTTTTTTGGCCACCCATCTTCTTTAATTTTTTTGTTTTCTATCTTCTCTTTATCACATGCACGTGGGAAAACTGCATTTAGCTATAAAAACCGTCACACCAAGCCCGGCATCGAGTAGACGCCTCCGTGCTTGGAGCACGCAGCGCGCGCCCCAGAGGCGGAGGGACTAAGTGTGAACCGCTCGGCACCCGTAGGTCTGGTTCCCAGGGTCAGACACCGGAAGTGGCGGTCCCGGCCCACGGCTTCTTCGGGAAGGCAAATTCCCGCCGCTCCCCGGCGGCAGTCCGCGAGCCCTCAGAAGTCTGGGAACATGGAGGCCGCGCGCCCTCCCCCGGCGGCGGGGAAGTTCGTCGTGGTGGGCGGTGGCATCGCGGGCGTCTCTTGTGCGGAGCAGGTAGGGCGGGCGGGCGGGCGGACAGGCGGCTCCGCGCCCTCCTGGACCCCGGAGGCGGCGGCGCTCCGGCCTCCTCCCCGCTCCCTCCCCCGGCCGGTCTTTCTACCTGGTCTCTCTCTGGACGCTTCCCCCCCATCCCTACCCCCGCTTTCTCTCCTGCTTGCTCGCAGGTATTAGAGACTGCGCGGTGGCCTTGGTGTCCTCGGTACCTCGCAAGCTTCACCTGAGGCGCCTGGCCGGTGGGGAGGGGGAGTCCGGGGGAATGGGGGGGGGGGGGGGAGAGAGCTAGTTGTTGGGCGTTAGGACCCGGGTCTAGCCATGTCCGAGCAGACCGGAGGCCTTGTGACTAGCAAGGACGTAGTGCGGAGATTCCGCCACCTTTGTCGGCAGACCACTGCGGTCCGCTTCCACACGGCGCAGGCCCCGGGTGCACCGCACCCTTACCTAGGTTCCCTGTACTGTGAACTCCCCAGATGGGAGATACTTCCTCTCCAGGAACGTTCCTAAAACAGCCCGCAAGGTGTATGCGGAATGCAGCTAGGAACGCTTTTCCGCTTATAGTGAATAATGAGACCATATATATATCTACACCTGTATGTATCTTAATATCCCAGAAGAGACTAAATTATCTTGATATAAACAATCTCAGAAGTATGAGAAATGGTACAAGAAGTGCAAGTCTTTTAAACTTTTAATAATATATAGAGAGAGAGAGAGAGAGAGAGAGATTTCAGAGAGGGAGAGAAATATCAGTGATGAGCGAGAATCATTGATTGCTGCCTCCTGCAGGCCCCCTACTGGGGATCAAGCCCGCAACCCAGGCATGTGCCCTGACTGGGAATCGAACCCGGGACCTCTTGGTCCATGGGATGGCTCTCAATCCACTGAGCCATCGCAGCTGGGCTAAACTTTTAATCTTTTAATCATAAGGTGTATTTTCCACTTATTCGCCAAGTCAACACCTATGATCCAGGCACTGTGCTAAGGGCTGCTTAGTCAAATATAAACAGCCTGATACCTTTTTAGGGACTCACAGCCTAGTGAAGAGGCATGTAAATAAATCATTTCCTTGGTGTGTTTGCTGTCTTAGGGGTGCCAGTTGAGTTGGTAGGGAGTAAATGAGGGAAGAGGTATCCTTTCTCCAAGGAGATACACTTTTTAGAATAATGAGTAAAAGTTCACCACCTAAACAAGACAAGACAGATGTTCCAAAGGGAAGCGACAGTAAACCTCAGGTGAAGCCTAGCATCCTCTGGGAGCAGCAAAACTTAAGGCAGGGGGTGCTTGGGGGAGGTGAGCAGAGATGAAGCCAGGGAAGGTTGGCAGAGGCCAGATCATAAAGGATCTTATAAGTCATGCTAAAAATTTACCAGGAACTTACAAATAGGTGATTTCGAGCAATGGAGTAATGTGATCAAATGAAAAAGTTTAAAAGACAATTAGTTATAATGTGTGGGGCGGAGGTAGCTGGTTAATATGAGACTGGAAGGCCAATTGAAAGGTGATTTTAGTAGCATAAAGAAGTTTTGAGGGTCTGGTCTAGCAATGAAAACAAAGCAGAGGGAGCCCTAGCTCGTTTGGCTCAATGGATAGAGCATTGGCCTGCACTCTGAAGGATCCTGGGTTCGATTCCAGTCAAGAGCACATGCCTGAGTTGTGGGCTCAATCCCCAGTAGGCGGCGTGCTGTAGCAGCCAATCAGTGATTCTCTCATTGATGTTTCCATCTCTCTCGCTCTCCTTTCCTCTCTAAAATCAAATATATATATATATATATATATATATATATATATATATATATATATTTTTAAAGCAGAGGAAAAATTACAGAATACACAAAGGAAAGAAAGATAGGGAGAGTGGTGATTTTGTCAAATACTGTAGAAAGTTAAAATAAGCTGGTACTTAAAAAATCTATGGGTTTTAAGGATGTATAGTTGAATTGGATATGCTCAGTTTTAATAGTGTAAAAGGGATAGAAATAGAGATTGGTAGAGTTGAACTGGAGATTGAGTTAGGAAAATGCTTTCAAGAAGTGTAAAGTGAGAGAGAGGTTTGAAGCTAGAGGAAAATGATGAAACAATGGCAAGTTAAGCCACCATATTTTGTTAAGACTAATATTAAAATGGCTTGGTCTTTCAGGATATCTGCTGGTTGGGCATTTGGAAGAGGCAGGATGGGAGTGCCAAAGCGCTTGGAAAGAGGCCTGAGATTCTAAATGTTTATTATTGAGGGTTTGCTGTAATTTCATCCTACTGAAGGCAAATGAAAATATTTTACAATAAGTAGAAGTTGGTTTAACTGTTAATTAGGAAGGTAATTTCTCCTTACCCTTGGCATGATAACTTTAAATTGGCATATAAAATAGGTTAAGTAAATAAGGAATACCTCTTTATGCCACTTTCCTTATTCAGATCTTTGTTAGTATTTAGTGTAAATGTATTACTCATTTTAATCAATACCACAGTATTGAACACTACTCATCACTACCTCATAAATATGAACAAGACTCAGGATAATGGAAACTTTAGATGAGGAACATTGATTAGTTCCCTAGGTTAATAACTTTATTAATATTGCACTATCCCTTTCTCACTCTCCATGCCACAAATAATAATAACTAAAATTATTTATCCTATTTTTCCTACTTTTTCTTAATAAGTTGGCAATTCACTTTCCATCAGAAGAGATTCTCCTGTTAACAGCTTCTCCTGTTATTAAAGCAGTTACCAATTTCAAGCAGGTAAGAATCTTTGTATAACTTTCTTACTATTAATTTTTAAAAATTGCAGTAACTTGTATAGCAGGTAGTATAATTGTACTATTTTAATTGTTTAAAATGACAAATGTTCTTTGGATGTTCATTTCAAAATTGTAGTTCAAAGTTTAGAATTAATTCAGATTGAATACCAAAAGCACCCAGAATGATATTGAATTTCTAGTCTTCTCTTTTTTTCCTCCTATCATTTCCCTCCCATTCTGAATTACTTTTCAGAAAATTTAAAATAAGGTTCTTTTGGGGAAAATTGCTATGAACTCTAAATATGAATGCAAATATATTCGTGTGTATATTTTTATTATAAATATGTGTGTGCGTGTATTTACAAATCAGAAGTGCTTCTGAGCCAAGTTTACACTTGTAGATAATTAATGTTGCAGATGTGTAATAAGCATCTCAGAATACTTTGTAGTTCCACAGATTTATATTACACATGTCATAACATTATAATAGGAGTCTAAGATCATTTGGATCATAGTGTGATAGAAGAGTGGTCTCCAAACATTTTTGATTCGGGAAACTAAGGCAGTGACCTAACAGGCTTGTCCAAGAGTGGTAGGACTAGTATTTTGAGTTTTAGTCTTAAAATGCGAATCTAGCCTTCTTTCCACTGTATTTTGTGTAGTTCACCAACTTTCTTGTTGTATGAACATAAATAATTATAGAAAAAAATGGAACTATTTTTGTTTAGAATTCTTGAAAAAGTTTTTAATATATATTCTTACCTCTTTGATCTAATACAGATTTCTAAAGTATTGGAAGAGTTTGATGTTGAAGAACAACCAAGTACCATGTTAGAAAACCGCTTTCCCAACATTAAAGTTATAGAATGTGGAGTAAAGCAACTGAAGAGTGAAGAACATGTAAGAGAATTTTTCCTTAATGACATTGTGCTGTTAAATCTTGGTGAGGTTTTTGCCTGACTTCCTTTGAACCCACCTATACCACCACCAAAGTCCCTAGCATGCAAATTTTGTGACATTGATTTCCATTACTAGAATAATTTATACTCTTTTGTGAGTTTATTGGGATTGTGTAATTAGTTTAGTTTTGCCTTTAAGTTTTATATTTCAAATTAGCATTAACATTTATATAGTGTCCACTGTTTTCTGGGCACTACATTAAGTGATAGGCACCATAATGTAAGGAATAAGCAATAATATAAGGAATCTGTAAGCTCTCAGTGTCATAGGGAATATAGACATGCATACATATAATTATATGGACATGTGAAAAGCGCAGTCATTGAAATATTATCAAAGCTCTGCTAGTAGATATTTAGGAAGACTTCACAGATTGAGTAATATTTGAGCTGTGTTTTAAAATATGAGTGAATTAATAGTTAGTGAATTAATAGATGCAAAAGTGCATTCCAGGAAGAGATTGCATCTTCAAAGACCAAAAGAAAGGAAAGGGAGCATGTGGAACCATGAGGTGGTCAATGGGATTTGGGTGGGGCTAAGTAAAGGAGATTGGCAGACAGGGCCTGAGAAATAAGTAAATAAGATTGTAAAGAGCTTTTTATGTCAAGCTAAGAAATTGAGTTCATTTTCTAATCAATGGAAAAATAGTAGAGATTTTAAGAGGAGGCAGGGATGATGAAATAGAAGTTCTTTTAAGAAGATATATAATCATCTCAATAAAGATTTTTAAAAAAAGAAGAGGAAGATATATCTGACAGCAGTGTCAAGAATGAGTAAGTGGCTAGTAGCCAGCAACCAAATTAGAAGGGGGTTACAATAGTCCAAAATGATACAAGGCCAAACCAAGGCAGTGTGAGGAATAAGGCAGTCTCAGAAAAGGATGTTATCAGGTGATTAACAATATCCTCAAATGAGCTTTAGGCAAGATATAAAGTAGAGTTTGTATCTGTTTCTCAAAAGCAGCTCTAATTTATGAATTCTCCCTTAGGGATAAAACACATACACCACATTTGACAGGAAAAAGAAATTAAGAAAAAATACTGAGTTTTATGAGAAAAGAATGAAAAATCTGAATCCAAAAATCAGAGTAAGTTTCTAATACTTATAGTGGTAGTACTTACTCATTGTAACATCCACGTGAATTAATTTGCAAATTGAAGTAGGTTTAAAAGTATACTAATGAGTTGTGAGGAAATTTTTATATTAGGACATTTGAATGAATCAGAGCGCTACCCATTACCATTTGAAAACTGTCCCGCATGAGGTATACTAGCATGTCTGCATTCTCTTATCCTTTATATTCTTTAGTGAATTAGAAAAATTCTAATTTTTTCCAAAAATTTAACAGTAGCTAATAAAGAGCTTTTGTGTTTGTTTTCATAGTAACTAAATGAAAATTTATTTTTTAAATTTGTTCAATGCCTATAACTAGTTTGTCTGTCATATAAAATTCTAACCAGATTATATGAAGGAAAACTTGCATGAAATGTCTGTATGGATTACACTTTGGGTTATTGATTTTATATATTTGTTATGCAGCTAAAGAGTTAACATGGGTGACAAATGTCTCAATGGGTAATAAGTGCTATGTTATGATTTGCTAAGTTTTATAATTCAAACACATGGCACAAAAGTTAACCCCTAAACCTTTCTAACAAAGTCCAGCATATCTTATGTATATCTGCTTTCTAAATGCTGCTGCTAATCTGTAGATTTTCTTCAATATTAAGAAACAGAAACTGGATCTCTAATATGTTTTTTAGACTCATTGAGGTTATTAAAATCAATATAAATATATTTAAAGCCAGTACATGCTGGATTTAAGTTTAACACGTTTGTCACTTAGGTGAAAATATAATCCCCAAAGAGCGTATAGTTTGCTAGGAGAAAGGCTAGTTTTCATCAGACTCACAAAATAATTCATGGCCCTAAAATGATTAAGAATCACTGAATTGAAGAATGTATTCTTATGCTTACTTAGCTTTGTATTTACTGGGACAAAATATTGATTGCCACCAAGAAGCAAGCTTAATATGCTTTTTGCTTTTGTGTTTTTGAATGTTTAAAGTGAAATTGTACCCACATATAAATGCTTCTTGCGCCTTCATTGCTCTATGTTTTTACAGTGCATTTTAACAGAAGATGGCAGTCAGCACATATATAAGAAACTCTGTCTGTGTGCTGGAGCTAAACCAAAGTTGATATGTGAAGGAAATCCTTATGTATTAGGAATTCGTGATACAGATAGTGCGCAGGTAACTTTGGGGTTGGGTCCTGGGGAATAACACGAAGATTTTTATCTTAGACATCTTTTGCTACATTTGAATGAAAGTGTTTCACTTACAATGCTAATTCCTAAACTGTAGGAGCAGAAGGGAGTTTTTTGTTTTGTGGCCCATAAACCAGAAAGTAGCTATAAGGTTCTATTATTGTCAATTTTAATTTGTTTTTAGTTGATAATTTATCTTGTTTTTTATTCATGCAGATGTTCTGTGTTCTTTCTCCTATATGATGTCCCAAATTTAATGACTCTGCTGAAGGGTACAGCTTATATGATGCACACACTTATTATTGTGATTGGGAATATATGATTTGTGACCTAAATAATATAATGACCTTTTCCCCAAAAGAATAAAGCATATCCAAAACTTACAGAACTTACTCTTCAGCAAACAAATTAATAGTCAGAAGATCTTTGTGGTACAGAATCATGACAGACCCTAAAACTGGAAAAGTCACTCGGTTTATTGTTCTACTCAAGTGATAACTATCCCAGGAAGGTGACACTCTATTGTGGAACCTTATACAACTTCTTTTGATAACTTACTTCAGGGTTTGTTGGCCTTATTGCCAAGAAGTTCTTCCTGATTTCAAATCACAATACTCTGTCTTCAAGTTCCTTGTTGTTCTGTCCCATGAGGTGATCATTTTACACTTACGTAACAATACTTTGTGTCCTTGAAAATTGATAGTTTACTTTCAGGCTATTCTTAATTAAATAATTAGGAATTTATGGAAAACTAGAACTTGGTTATCTTTTGGTAAACCTTTTGGGATTCATATTACCAAAGATTGCATTCATAACTGTATTCCAGCGAAGCCCTCAACATACAAAAACTCATTGAATCCTCATGATAATTCTGTGTGACAGTCATTACTGCCACTCTACAAATAGGTCATTGAAATAGAAAGACTAAGTAATTTATCGTTACTCAGGTAGTTATTAAACTATCAGAAGTACAGTTTAAACTCATGCCATTCATCTCCATGTCCAGTACTCTATAGATCTTTCTTAAATTATCTACTCCCTCAATGAAGGACAAACTAAAATTAACTTAAGGTGTTTGTTGTTGTAGAAATTTCAAGAAGTCAATTTCAGTGGTTATTTATTGAACATTACAATAAGTTTTGGGTCAATTTAAGAGAAATGGTAACTTGACATAGTAGGCAAAGGAATTGAGCTATTCAGACATCATCCTGAAGCAGTGGTACTATTCTGTACTTCTGAACGTCTCCTAAGAGTGACCCACTGGCTTTTCTCCAAGTACATTGTGGTCTTTTTAGGGAGGGTGGTGGTAGTAATTAGCTGCCTTATAATGGTAATAACATTTTTTTAAATAAATGGTAGACATTATTGTGTGTCTGCTATTCCTAACAGCCTTATCTACATCATCTTACTTAATGCTTACAGAAACCTTGAGATTTAGTCACTTCTTTTCTTTTTTAATTTTTTTATTGATTTCAGAGAGGAAGGGAGAGGGAGAGAGATAGAAACATCAATGATGAGAGAGAATCATTGATTGGCTGCCTCTTGCATTACCCCCACTGGGGATTGAGCCGGCAGCCCAGGCATGTGCCCTTGACTGGATTTGAACCTGGGACCCTTCAGTCCGAAAGCCGACGCTCTATCCACTGAGCAAAACCAGCTAGGGCGAGATTTAGTCACTTCTTAATTCCATTTATAGTTGAATGTGAGGTACAAGAGGATAAACAACTTGTCCATCATTCCCAGTTAGTAAACTGCTAGAACCAGTTCCTTTAGCATTTGTGCTCTTAACCACTTTGCTGCTGTGGCTCTCATCCTGCAAGTTTTAAGTGCTGAGTGACTGCAGACAGTATCAACTGAGGAACTAGAAGAGGAAGAATCCTGTATCTAGGATGTAGATCAATGTTATGTTAGTAAATTGAATTTGTCAAATAGTTGAGAATTTAGTAAACTAAGACAGGGCCTCCTGCTGAAATTCTGAAGTAGTACTCTAATGACATAAAAACAAGGAAAATCAGGAGAGGCATTGCTGTAAAGGCAGTGTAGGGTGAAATGTAGAGGAGAATTTGTATTATCAATTGGAAGGGTGCATCCTGGAAGAGTAGGAAAGTAAGATTTATTATCAGAGAAGCCTCTTGCTTCCACTATTGCCCACTATACAAAACCCTGTGTCATTTTCTTTTTAATATAGGAATTTCAGAAACAGCTTACGAATGCTAAAAGAATAATGATCATAGGGAATGGTGGTATCGCACTTGAATTAGCGTAAGTATATACTTTTAAAAATTGCTCTGTGATTCATGTTATTGTTGGCATACTAGAAAAGATCTTGTTATCCTAAAAATCAAAGATAATATTGTTTTTCATGTATTTTCAAGAACAGAAATCCACTTAATTTTTTTTAGCTTTCATGGGATTCATAATTGCAGAAATGTTGTCAGAAAATATGAGTTTAGGCCAGCCGTGGGCAAACCACAGCCCGCGGGCCGGATCCGGCCCGTTCGGCTGTTCTATCCGGCCCGCGGAGCCGAAAGAGCGGAGGGTTCTCTTGCTCTCCCCTCTGCTCCTTCACCAGCAGCAGTGTTAACATGTATTAGTTCACACAAACACTCCATCCATGCTTTTGTTCTGGCCCTCTGGTCCAGTTTAAGAACCCATTGTGGCCCTCGAGTCAAAAAGTTTGCCCACCCCTGGTTTAGGCAGTACTTTAGGTCTCAAAGGGTCATTAACTGGTAACTAGCTAGATTTGAACCATCCTATATAATCCTATCTAATAAAAGAGAAACATGGTAATTAGCATACGACCGCTACCCTTCCCATTGGCTAATCAGGGAGATATGCAAATTAACTGCCAGCCAAGATGGCAGCCGGCAGCCAGGCAGCTTGAAACTAACATGAGGCTTGCTTGCTTCAGTGGCGGAGGAAACCAACGTTCCCCGCCTGCCTTGCCGGCCTCTGAGCCTGAAACGTAACAAATATAGAAGAGCTGGGATCTCAGAGCTGGAGTTATACATTGTTTCGATTAGAGAACCCAAACAAACCAGATACCTGCTTTCAGCAGCGGAGGCCTAAGAGCTGGAGCCTCAGAGCTAAAGCTGGCCCAGAATAAGAAAAAAAAGAAAAAAAAAGGAGCAGTTGGGAGCTTCCGTCACCCGCCAGCCTGAAAACAGCCCTCAGCCCCTCACCCAGACTGGCCAGGCACCCCAGTGGGGACCCCCACCCTGAAGGGTGTGTGACCAGCTACAAACAGCCATCATCCCCTCACCCAGGCTGGCCAGGCACCCCAGTGGGGACCCCCACCCTGATCCAGGACACCCTTCAGGGCAAACCAGCCAGCCCCACCCATGCACCAGGCCTCTATCCCATATAGTAAAAGGGTAATATGCCTCCCAGCACCGGGATCAGCGTGACAGGGGGCAGCGCCCAAACCCCCTGATCGCCCTGCGGCTCTGTGTGTGACGGGGCAGGGCCACAACCTCCCTATGGGCCCTGCTCTGTTCATGACAGGAAAAGGCGCCCCAACTCCCTGATCAGCCCTGCTCTGTGCCTGATAGCGGGGAGCTTCCCAACCCCCTGTTCACCCTACGGCTCTGTGTGTGACAGGATGCGGCGCCCCAACCCCCTGATTGGCCCTGCTCTGTGTGTGACAGGGTGCGGCGCCCCAACCCCCCCCCCCCCACGGGCCCTGCTCTGTGTGTGATGGGGTAGAGCCATAACCTCCCCATCAGCCCTACCCTGAGCGTGACAGTGGCGCCGCCCCAACCCCCTGATCGGCCCTGCTCTGTGGGTGATAGAGGGCAGCGCCCCAACCCCCTGATCCGCCCTGCTCTGTGACAAGGGGCGATGCCCCAACTCCCCTATCGGCCCTACTCTGTGAGTGATGGGGGAGCTCCTCAACCCCCTGATGGGCCCTGCTCTGTGTGTGACAGGGGGGAGCTCCCCAACCCCCTGATGGGCCCTGTTCTGTGCGTGACGGGGCAGCGCCTCAACTCCGATCGGCCCTGCTCTGTGCGTGACGGGGTGGCGCCGCAACCTCCCTATCGACCCTGCCTTGAGTGTGACAGGGGGCCGTACCCCAACCCCCCAATCGGCCCTACCCTGAGCGTGACTGAGGGTGGCATTGCAACCTCCCGATCTGCCCTGCTCTGTGCATGACAGGAGCGGCACCCCAACTCCCCAATCGGCCCTGCTCTGAGCCCGACCAGGGGCTGCACCTAGGGATTGGGCCTGCCCTCTGCCACCCAGGAGCAGGCCTAAGCCAGCAGGGCGTTATCTCCCGAGGGGTCCCAGACTGTGAGAGGGCACAGGCTGGGCTGAGGGACTCTCCCTTTCCCCCCGAGTGCACAAATTTTTGTGCACCGGGCCTCTAGTCCTATATAATAAAAGCCTAATATGCTAAGTGCCCGACCCTTCGTTCCACCAGTAGCTATGATGTGCACTGACCACCAGGAGGCAGACGCTCCAACGGGTAGGTTAGCTTGCTGCTGGGGTCTGATCGGGACTGGGCAACATGGGCCGGACACATCCTGGAGCCCTCCCGCAATCCTTCCCTGGCCCCGATCATGCACCGGTGGGGTCTCTCCGCTTGGCCTGTGCCCTCTTGCAATCCAGAACCCCTCAGGGGATGTCGGAGAGCTGGTTTCAGCCCAATCCCTTGCAGGGCAGGCCGAGGGACCCCATCAGTGCACAATCCATACACGGAGACTCTAATGTTTTATAAGCATGTACTACATTAAAAAAGAATCTGAATGTGTACACCTTTAGAAATTTCTAGTCATAATCCCCACCACTTTTTATTGCTTATACCCATCCTGTTATGTGAACACATTAATAAATATGAAATATTATTTTAAAGTATTTCAAGTTCAGAAATCATCAAAGACTCCTCTTGTTGTCTACAGAGCATTAATTCACTTTCTTTGTGATTTTATCTCCCCGCAGATAGCTGACATGAAATAGTATGGGTATTTTTCAGACTAGAAAATTGGGTCCCATTACAGATAGGACAAATTTATATTAAAATAAGGAATCTACTCAAGTCCTGTCTTTGCTCAGTTTCATCCATTCCAACTCTCAGACTAGGTTTTTGCCCCTCTTTTTTAGAGGATGATGAATCCCATTGAAAGCCTATAAGAATTCTTCAATTGCCTGAATACCAGGAATAGCAGTTATTATTATAATTATGAATTTTGTGGCACTGTGCAGAGAAATGCAGAGGAAAAACTAGAGCATCAAAACTAGACTGGGCCTTAAGGGAGGAGGCACAGATGTAAGGGGGGCTTCAAATTTTTAGTACACGTGACAAATTTTCTCCATCACGTATCGCCAAAACTATAACTTAATACTATTACTATTTACAGTGAAATGCTTTCTTACCTTAAAGATGTTCAAATTCACACATTTGATCTTATTCCTTCTGTAATATTCTTTGAATACATAAAATGTCTGTTACCAAAGAAGTCAACTATTCTCAGTATGGTAGCTGTGTACCATCCATCCATTATCGATTACATTATTACCAGATAAAGCATTTCTCACTCCTGGGACCCTGCGGACATTAAATAATAACTATGTTGTAGAAACTGAACACTTTGAAATGATATTTATTGTAATGAAACTTTACCTGATGTCCAGTATATATATTAGTCCCTTACATGTTCTTGGTAAACTGATTACATTCCTTTTGTTATTTGTTCTACTTTAACTCTTATCCTGAAAGAGTGTTACATTCCTCCTTATAATCATTTTTTCTGAGTTTGCTCAAAATATTTTCTTTACTTGTGCCTTAGGAGAGAATTATTATTTGTAAGTACAAAGATTTCTACTCATACTTTTGAAATTGCTCTAAGTAACTTTAATATTCCTTTTAGGTATGAAGTCGAAGGTTGTGAAGTAATTTGGGCCATTAAAGATAAGGCTATTGGGAATACTTTCTTCGATGCAGGAGCAGCTGAATTCTTGACCTCAAAGCTCATTGCTGAAAAACCAGAGGCTAAAATTGCACATAAAAGAACCAGATATACAACTAAAGGTAAATATAGAATCTGACTCATTAATTCACAGATAAATTTCTATTTTTTTAACCATATAGAAAAAGACTATAAGAAAATTTAGCAAAATATATTTGGGTGCTAAGAATATAGTATCTTTATATGACTTTTTAGATTTTCTAGAATTTATATATTTTATGAAAAATATGTATAATTAAAACGAAATTTAAAGTGAATTAAATAAGCCAGTCTATCTGCATCTTTGTAAACAGATGCTACAACTAGACAAGACCTAAGGTAATTTTATAAAAATGCAATGAGTTTGAAAGCAAATACAAGCTTCATGATTTTTTAGTTTACAGAGGATTAAAAAAACACATAATGGTTTGTAAAATTCAAGAATTTTATAAGTTTAGGGCATCCCAAAAACTGGCAACATTTTCAAAATCTGTTGGCTAACATTCTTACCCTTCATATTAACCAGTGAATATAACATCCCAAAAACACTATGTTTATACTCAATACTCAATTGAAAGATTGTCCATTTTATATCTCTACATCACAAAATATTAAAATAAATAAAATTATTACTACAGGTGACTTTGTTTCATCATTTGGTATGTACTTATGCATGAGAATCATTATATTGCCTAAAAGCTGCAGAACAAGCATATTTATCTGCCTGGCAGATATTTATTTTTATATCATTTGAATTTTGAATTGAGTTTATCTCTTTAGGAAAGAAAAAGGAAGCAGGAACCAACATTAATGCTGGTAATGTAGGCAGTGCCTTAGGACCTGATTGGCATGAAGGCTTAAATCTTAAAGGAACAAGAGAGGTATGTTTTCATATACTAATTAAACATGTCTAAATGCAGTTTTAAATTCTTAAACCCTTTTTTTTTGAAGACTGGTTACAAATATGTAATCAAAGAATTGCTAGGTCCCTTTACTTAAAATCCATAGTGCTAAGAAAGGAGTTGGCCTACATGCCCACCAAAGGTAGGTGAATATTAAATTCATCTAACACTCACTCTCTGCCTTCTTTCTAACTCCCCAGAAGTGGAGATTGCCATACACAGACCACAGTGAAAACACCTGTCCTATTTTAAATTAATGTTTTCTCAAAAGTTATTTCAGATGCATTTCAATATTTTAAAGGTTAATAGATGGATTCTAAATAAAATATTTCTCTTTTAGTTTTCTCATAAGATTCACATTGAAACTATGTGTGAAGTAAAGAATATCTATCTTCAGAAGGAATTTAGAATCTCTAAGAAAAAGTCCTTGACATTTCCAAGAGACCATCAAAATGAGTTAGTTACAACTGATAAAGGTAAGTGATAAAATAAAAAGATACTTAACTGCTTATTTAAAAGGAAGGCAGCTTAATTTTTATTGTTATACTAGAGGCCCCGGTGTGTGTGTGGGGGGGGGGGGGAGGGGGGGCCCTCAGCCTGGTCTGCACCCTCCTGCAATCCAGGACCCCTTGGGGGATGTAGCAGTACGCCAAGTGGCAGGCAGCCAGGGTGGAGCCCTGGCCCACTGCGCCTGCCAACGCAGCTTGGTAGGGATGCCACAGAGTTGGGAGCCTGGGAGAAGCTCCCACCGCTGCAGCTGCGCACGCCAGCTGTGAGCCCAGCTTCTGGCTGAGTGGTGCTCCCCTTGTGGGAGCGCACTGACCACCACGGGGCAGATCCAGCGTTGAGCGTCTGTCCCCTGGTGGTCAGTGCACGTCATAGCAACTGGTCATTCCGGTCTTTCGGTCCTAAGTGTCACTTAGGCTTTTATATATATAGATTAAAAACCAACTTCAGACTGCCATATAAAATTTAAACATGAAAAGTAAAAATAAATGATAATTTAATAAGTCATTTTATTTTTATAACTAACTTAAAGTTTTCTAATAAATTGTATAGGGCTTTACTCACAGTGTTTTGACTGTCATAACCCTGTGAGTCAATCAGAATATCTTGCAGATCAAAACAAAACTAAAACTAAAAACCTGATGTTCTCAGAGGTGAAGTGACTTCCCCAAAATCAAAGTGTATGATATTCCAGTTCTAAATTCTTTGAATTCTTCCATAGGAAAAGAGAAAGTTTGAGTATGAATAGTAAGGGAAAACATTGAAAAGTGAGTAACCTAGTTAGACTAAACTCTCAGAGGAACATCCTCTATTAATAAAGATTTTTAAAGAAATAATTTGTAAGATGATTACCAATTTAAATTTACTTGGTTAGATCTGTGTCTAAATTTAGAATGCCATAGTTTTGTAATCATACCCAAAACAAGGAGATGGTGTTAATTGTATTAAAAATTGTGTAAACAAATGTGCCTTATGCAAAATATTAAGGGATGTTGTTTTAAAGTCATCTCCGGCCTTCCTTTTTATTTTTCCTTGTTCTAGTTATTATATTCACATAATGTTGTGAACAATTGGTGATTACATTTGAGAATACATTTTTTTTTTTTAAAGAGATATGGCCTGTGTATGTGGAGCTGACCAACGAAAAGATATATGGCTGTGATTTCATTGTCAGTGCTACAGGAGTTACACCAAATATAGAACCTTTTCTCTGTGGCAACAATGTAAGGTGAAATTTTTGGTCCCACTACACATATTTTTAAAGTATTAATTATTTATTAAGCTCTAATTCTCAAGCCTGAATAATTATTCACTGTGTTAGTATAAAACTGTAACTTAATATGACTAAAAAGAATTTAATTTATATTCATATCTTGATTTGCAATACTTTTTTAAAAATAAAGTTTTATTGATTTCAGAGGAGGGAGAGATAGAAGCATCAATGATGAGAATCATTGATTGTCTGCCTCCTGCACGCCCCCTACTGGGGATTGAACCTGCAACCTGGTCATGTGCCCTGACTGGGAATCAAACCGTGACCTCCTGGTTCTTAGATCAATGTTCAACCACTGAGTCACACCGGCCGGATGATTTGCAATATTTTTTCACTGCTTAAAGTTCTTAAGCAGTTAACATTGCAGCATAGGTGTCATTATTGATGTGACATAATGCATAACTTATTTATATAAATATTGGTAAGAGACTGATACCACATGAATTCTTAAAAGTGCTATTTTGAAAAAACTCTTAATAATTTTTTTCTTTTTAGCATTTGAAGCCTAGAAAAACTGAGGAATATTCTTGTAATTATGAGTGGGTTAGTTGTATGGTTACTGGGCTTTTTTGATATTGAAATTCTCAGAATTTTATGAGTTTGCATCTTATGAGGAATTTGATTCCCTGGAAATTCAGCTTAGTTGCCTAAACTTTCAGCTATTTTTCACTTTCTCTTTAAAGATCAGCAAATCATGATGTAAAAAATTTACTTGTTCTTTTACTTTAGAATGAAGTCGTTTCATTTTTCTTACCATTTATGCTTATGAGGAACATTGTTTAGTTTGATCTAGGAGAAGACGGTGGCCTGAGAGTGGATGATCATATGCACACATCCCTTCCTGATATCTATGCTGCAGGTGACATCTGTACTGCTTCCTGGCAACCCAGCCCATTCTGGCAGCAGGTATGCCACATACATGATCACGTTTTTTCAGAGACTCCATCTGAAAACAAGGAGTTGCTACCAGCAAATCCAACTTTATGGTTTTCCAAATCTCCTACTTTAAGTAGGAAGCTATATGTTTATATTTCAAGTGAAGAAACTGAGACTCAGAAAAATTAAATAGGTACAGTTGATACGCAGATCTACTGACTTCCAAGGCCAGTGTTCTGTTATACTAGAAAAATCCCAAAAATTTGTAGAAATACAGTTAAAACAGAATACAGAAGAAGTTAATACTGCTGTAGAGAATTTTAAATGACTTCCCAGAATCACTTGCTGAGATCTGAAATGATGTCTTGGGGTTAGGCACCGAGTGATAAATCTGTCTGCCCACTGAGGTAAATTGCAGGGTAGGTCTTAACGATCTAGCACCAACATGAGGGTTAGGAGAAGAAACAAATTTTTCAGTGATAATTTGGCATCTCTATTAATGCTGATGAGAAATTTATTCTGAAGTGGAGACTGGTTAAAATGTTATCTGGTGTAACCCGAAATATATTTTTAAATAGAAAATTTATTGAAATGTAAAAGTTGGTGTCATATTTAATTTTTGAAGCAGTATTTAGGTAGAATTATTAGATACCAAAATCAAATGCCAATCAGTGTGGATTGGTGATTGCTTCTATGGCAAAGATGACCCAACCAAACATCTAACCAATTTAACCGATCTAGACCTAACCAGTCTCAAGGACTGTCAAACATTGAACTCCATGAAGGAATGTTACAAGGTTAAGTGCTAACATTTTTAAGTAATGATAATGAAAAGTTACACTGCATTACATTTTTTATTTCAGATGAGGCTGTGGACCCAGGCTAGACAGATGGGATGGTACGCAGCGAAGTGCATGGCTGCAGCTAGTTTAGGAGAGTCCATCGACATGGATTTCAGCTTCGAACTTTTTGCTCATGTAACAAAGTTTTTTAACTATAAGGTAAGATAGATAAGCAAATTAGTGCCTTTTTCTGCTTGTTAGTAACTGATTATAATCATCAGATTTTCTTGCTTGAATACAAATTCATATGGTTTTAATCATTTCACCAAGAAAAAAATATTTTATTTTATGCAAATCAATACTTGGTATTATTGCTGATCTTAATTCCTAATTATCTGATAATCATTACCTCCCTTTCCCACTGTAGTTTTACACTTTACAGGGACTGTTCCCTATTGGTGCATTTCTAATTTTTATTTGAGATTCATTATTTCTTTGTGCAGGAAACTAATAGCTGTCATACTCAAGAGTGAACCAAGTTATTTTCCATACATATCTTAGTCCTCTTTACATTAGTCTGAGGCTAGTTTTTGTTCCTAATTTACTGATAAGGAGAAACATACACAAATACACACATATACAAGGTTCAGGGAGATTAAATAATTTGCCATGAAAGATCTAACTCAGTTCCTTATTAAATCTTTAAATCATGACTCCAGGCTAATGTGGTCCATATTCTACATATTTGTATATTCCATAGATAGATAGATATTTTAATCCTCACCCGAGGATATGTTTTTTAAATTAATTTTAGAGGAGGGGGGGAGAGAGAGAGAAAGAACATCAATAGATTGCCTCCTGTACATGCCAACTGGGGATCTAATCCACAACCTAGGTATGTGCCCTGTCTGGGAAACAAACCCGCAACCTTCTGGTGTACAGGACACTGCTCCAGCCAACTGAGCCACTCATCCAGGGCTTCACTAGATATTTTTAATGTTCATGTAGATTGTATGGCATTATCACCTGTAGAATAAATGCATACTGTTCAAGTGTTTGGGGTTTTTTGGAACCTGCTCCAATGACGCTTTTAGCTGTAAAATTTTGTGAACAGATTTTTCTGCTGGCCATTCTGGCATAACACAAAATAAGCGCCTATTATGTTTCCTTTTAGGAACTCACTAGAATAACTTTTTTTATCCCTACATGTATATTTATAGGTTGTATTGCTGGGAAAATACAATGCACAGAGCTTGGGTTCAGATCATGAATTAATGCTGAGATGTACCAAAGGACAAGAATACATCAAAGTCGTCATGCAGAATGGACGAATGATGGGAGCTGTCTTAATTGGTGAAACCAATTTAGAAGAAACATTTGAAAACTTGATATTAAACCAGATGAATCTTTCATCATATGGAGAAGATCTACTAGATCCAAACATTGATATAGAAGATTATTTTGACTAAAAAGAGCACTTCAAGAACCACATAGTTTCAAATAAGACAGAATGTCAAGTCAATGATGTGAAGGACTGCACTGATTTAACGGTGACCACACTGAAGTTAAAAACACACAGGTGATAATGATTTTAGTGGAAAAGTATTTAAAAATAAAATTCTAAAGATGAAGTCAGTTTGGATAACTTACAGATATATTTTTTTCTAACACAAAACTGACCTCTCACAACCACTTATGTAAGAATTTTCAAGTTACTCATTTATGTGCTTTAAACTTAGACGCGTTCACTTGGGATTTAATTTTGGAGCTAGGTTGGTCTAAAAAGAGCCATTCTTTATGAAATGTCAATATAGGGCTATGGTTTCAATCTTAGTTTTATTTTACTTAGAGACATCGCCATCTTACTTACTAATATCAGTATTGATACCTTATTACTCTTTTTGTGTGGATTCTACATGTTATAACCTGAGGGTACTCACTCTGATGAGCCTATGTCAAATTCTCAGTACAACAACACTGCTGTCAAAAGATAGTTCTGTCAAAAAAAAATTACAAGGTGTAAAGAGCTTAAGATAGTTATGTGAACTTACTCCCTTAACTATTTTACTTTTAAAGGGTTTTACATTAAAAATTTATTTTTCCCCTCATTTCACACTGTAAATATATGCAGTTCATGCTCTTAAATTGTCAAAAGTTCTCAAATTCTCAAGTCTTCAATACTTTAGAGAGAAGTTCTTAAAATATAGCTTCACACATATAAAATATTAATGAAAGTGTCTTAAAATTTAAGCTATAAAAATAATGGTGCATGCATGCATAAAACTGTTTTCTTGGAAAATTTAGAAACATTCATCTCATGCATCATCAATTTTTCTTTTCTTAGCCCCTGTATTCTTAGTATCAGATTGCTGAAGTATGTTTGCAGGTTTCTTCTGGAAGTTGCCCGAATTTTTTCCTTCCTTCTTTTTATCAGATCTTTCAGAATGACAAGTTTGAGATGATTCAATCTACAAAACAATAACAAACACCAGGTAAAAATTCAGTTAATTTTGTTTTCTCATGAGATTCATAATCTCAATAGTCCTTCTCTATCAGTTAGCTCTTGAAGTGTCCAGTGGTCTGGTTTTCTATCTTCAAATTTCTACTCACATATGAGTCCCATCTTGAATAGAAGGGTCTATACCAGTGATGGTGAACCTTTTGAGCTCGGCGTGTCAGCATTTTGAAAAACCCTAACTTAACTCTGGTGCCGTGTCACATATAGAAATGTTTTGATATTTGCAACCATAGTAAAACAAAGACATATTTTTGATATTTATTTTATATATTTAAATGCCATTTAACAAAGAAAAATCAACCCAAAAAATGAGTTCTCATGTCACCTCTGACACGCATGTCATAGGTTCGCCATCACTGGTCTATACCATCAGAGAAACCATAAAGAATACCCAAAGTGTCCTTAGACACATTGTATATGGCATGCTTTTGCAGGCTTGATAGTACTTAGTTTATAACTTCTTTTCAACCTCTGCCACAGAGGCAGACTTCTCAACCAACATTGATCACCATGAGAGCAAGGTGTATCACAAAATTAGACATTAAAATGGAGTCTTCACATTCCAGAGGTTAGAAATTCCTCTATATTAAAAAGCTAGTCTAAATTCTCCCACTTTATGTCTTCCATACCCAGATTCTAAGAACACTGACTTACCTCTTATGTTCAATTGGACTTAGGAGAATACTAATTAAAGAAAAGCATCCATAGGCTTGAATGTATTTTTTAAATATTTGAAAATAGTTACCCCGAAATAGGTCTGCATGGACTTCTTTACTTGCATAGTAATAACATGTGCCTCGTTGTTCAGAAGATGAGCTTTAGGTCCCGTTTTCAAATAGGAAATGGTAGCGTAAGCTGTAAAACTGTAGTCTTCTCTGCAGAAGATAAAGACCACCAATCAGAGGGGTTTTGAGGAGTTATAGGAAACAAAAATAACCATAAGTGCAATAATTCTAAGTCATATATTGATAGGAAATAATGAAAAATACATTACAAAAATACAGTTTATCTTTATAGAAAGTATTTTCATTTTGTGCTTTTTTATTGACACTAATCAATTATAGTTGGAGTTTAAGTATATTTTGTATAGTGTTTAACAGTCACATGAAACAACCACAAAACCATTTGTTTTGAGGCATTTATAAAAATGAGAAATAATCATAAAGACACGTTACATTTAGTGGAAGAAAATATTTTCCCAATTTTTTATTCTTGTGATTGAGTAAGTCATCATTCTTATGGTACTGGTTTTAGACATTTTACTATTTCTTCTTAAGTTTAACATATCTCCTATTTATGGCTGTACTGAGATATAGCTAATGCCTATAAAGTGTGTTTCCTTATTTCTAAAATTAAGATAGAATATCTAGTCTCATCTCACCATGTTGCTAAGGTTAAATGAATATATGTAAAAATTATAATATGTAAAGTATTCTGTAATTATTATCATTATTGTTATATATTCCAAATTAGAGTTTTTCTTAAAAGTAATCTTTTTGGAAGAATATATGTTTATTCCATAAATAAAAAAATAAAAGTAGCCCGGCCAGCATGGCTCAGTAGTTGAGCAATAATGACCTATGAACCAGGAAGTTTGGGGGCACATGCCCTGGTTTCAGCCTCAATACCCAGTTGGGGGCATGCGGGAGGCAGCCGATCAATTATTCTGTCTCATCATTCATGTTTCTATCTCTCCCTCTTCCTCTGTGAAATCAATAAAAACATTTTAAAATAAATAAAACCGTGTACTGTTTTAAAAAAAATTATAAAGACAACATGAAAGGACAAGAAGGGGGTTGGTATATACTTAAGATACTGCTGTAGAAGAAAGTGCGCAATAATTTTCTCCAGGTCTTCACGAGGGAGTGTGGGAGGAACAACACCTGCTACTCTCAATTTTGCTGCTCCCCTTCCCATCCAAGAATCGATCAGTTTCAGTGGAGTGAGCTTTTCATTCATTTCCTCTGCCTGCTGCAGGATTTTGATTAGATCTCTGCAGTAGGCTGTTACATTCTTTCTTTCAAATGCTATAATCAAAGAGGCATAGTTACAGACAATTGGGATTTAGAAATTAGGGCAAAGATAGTCTATCCTAAGTGGTTAAACTGGTTTCAAAACAAGTCATCATTGTGAGCCACCCTACACACTGGTTTATTAATATGTTCTGAATTAAAACTAGGCTATCCCCCAAGTCTGGCACTAACCTAAGTTATAAACTCTTTAAAACACTGAGATTTACAGTGATGTAAAGAAACTAACCTAGTATCAGAAGGCCTTTGGGTGTGCTCTGGAACCAAAGAGTATTTGCCAGACATGATGATGCAAATTCTGAGAGGTGTTTATAGGAGAGTCGATCTATTCTGCATATTTACCTGATGTGTGCTCATTAAGCAATTTCCTGAAAACTAGTATGGCTTCACAGCTAGTCTGATACAGAGACAAGAATGTCCTGGACAGATATCCCCAATTATTGGTCTATTTTATATATTAGAGTCTTATTAATTTGGTCAGCAAAACATGCTGTAATAAACAAGTTTCTCTAGGTGTAAACTTAAAATACTGATGACCTTCATCCACCAAGGCATCAGAACTCAGGAACTGGTTAGTCCAGCTCTTCAAGTACAACCCCCAAACACAGAATGAAATAGTTAAAATACTAGTAAAGCCGAAACCGGTTTGGCTCAGTGGATAGAGTATTGGCCTGCGGACTGAAAGGTCCCAGGTTCGATTCCGGGCAAGGGCATGTACCTGGGTTGCGGGCACATCCCCAGTGGGAGATGTGCAGGAGGCAGCTGATCGATGTTGCTCTTTCATCGATGTTTTTGACTATCTCTCTCCCTTCCTCTCTGTAAAAAATCAATAAAATATATTTAAAAAAAAAAAAACATAAAAAAAAAAATACTAGTAAAGTTTTAAAACTTTATTTTCCTAATCAGTTACTATAAAGTATTAGAGATTATCATGAGATTAGCCTTATCTTATATAAATAGCATTTCTATTCAGACTATTTCCTTCATTTCTTAAAATTTCACATGCCTTCAGTAATAGCAACATAAAATATATACACACAATATGGCTTTTCCTTTTATTTGCCTTTGTTTCAAAACCATGTTACTTTTGAATCTGGCAAATTCTATTCACATGTTGTTTAATCTTTTAAATCTATTTTTAAATCAAATAGTGCCCTCATGTAGTCCTACCCATCTATAATAATAAAAGTGTAATATGCTAATTAGAACAGATGACCTTCTGGACAAAGCCAGGGCTATGAGGGCCGAGGCAGCTGCCACGGCTGCGAGGGCCAAGCCCCTTGCACAAATTCCATGCATTGGGCCTCCAGTATGTGTATGTGTGTACTAGCCTATAAAGGTTCAAAAAACAATGAACTCACAAATGTCTTTACAGCAATTATCACACATTTTGTTGCACGCTTCTGAGTTCCATACTTCATCAAAATGTTGAGCTATCAATACACGGCGACATCTGCCAACACATTTAGAGATACAAATTAAGTGATCTAATAATGTTTTAAGAATCCCTATTTCAAAATACAGAATTATATCTTGTATAAGTTTCCTATTGCTGCCATATCATTACCACAAACTCAGTCTTAAAACAACGTATTTATTATGTTACATTTCTATAGGTTAGAAGTTTGACGTGGATCTTTCTGGGTTAAAATCAAGGTGTAAGCAGGGCTGTATTTCTTCTGGAGGCGCTAGAGGACAGAATCTGTTTTTCTGCCTTTTCCAGTTTCTAGAGACTGCCTGCATTCCTTGGCTCATGGCCCCCTTTCCTTCATCTTTAAAGTCAAGCACACTGGGTTGAATCTTCACATCATATCACTCTGACTCCTTCCCCCTCTCTGCCTCCTTCCAAATTTAAGGACCTTTGTGATTATACTGGGCCCACCCAAATAATCCAAGTTAGTCTCCCTATTTTAAGGTCAGCTGATTAGCAACCCTAATTCCATTTGTAACCTTAATTCCCTTTTGCCATTAAGGTAACATACTCACAGGTTGCTGGGATTTGGATGTGGATATCTGTGGGGACTTTGCCCACCACATATTTTTTCCATACGTACTTGATAAACATAGCTTTTAAGACGTTGTCTGAGATTCATTTTGAGATTCAATATTTTACTATTAAAAAAATCTTCCTGATAGCAGTTTCTTGTACTTTATAGTATTCCTTAGAGTCTAAACCCCAAAATATGCTTCATGGGGGTCTACTGGACATCTAAGAAAACTGTTCTTTTTCTCATCTCTTTAGCTAGATTATTGTAGCATCTATAGGAAAGAAATACCATTTTCTGTCACTGTCTGGTTACTGCTTATATAAAAATTATGAGTCATTTTTATGTGATAGGTAATAAGAGTACAAAGATGACTAAGACAGAAAAGCCATCAGGGAGCTATATGGTCTAATTTAATCTACCCTAAATAGATTAAAATTTATTAAGAAGAAACTGGACCCTGCTCTCAATTATTTCATCAATTCATCAGCTGGAAGGATGGTTGGTATGTGTTACTGAGCTCAACTCTCAAAACTCCTCTTATACACCTGTACATAATTATTAAAGCTACACACCAGTACTGGAGGGGAAAAAAAAAAAAAAAGCTTGAACTCACTATCTCTATCAGACTCTTCAGTAAAACAGAGTTTTGGAGAATTATCTCAGAGAGAGAATATCTTTTCTTGGATTAAGGCAGATCTTGCAGGTTCATGTACTTGTTCTTACACTTCATACACTACTTTTACATGTTTGCACTTGATGTTTTACCAACGTATTTACTGACTTTCCTAGTACTCACAGGAACATCATATACTTTCACATTGTGTTTGTCTCTAACTGACAAAAGTTATGAAAAGAGATGTGGCTTACTTGCTTATGTTTTGACAGTATGACACCATCTCATAAAGCTTTTGTTGCCCCACATTCTCCATCACCACCATTGAACTGATTCTGAATATGTCTCCAAAGCCATAATACAAAATACAGTCCGCTTTCGTGTCATCTCTGCCTGTAGTAGGAAAGATCTTGAGATTGCATAATTACTTTAAAAATTCAAAGCAAGCAAAAATAATATATGCATAATCAGCTGGCTATGCTTCATTGTCTAAGTATATCTATAAATTTCAGACAAAAAAGTGAAAGTTAATTTGTAACAACTGCCCTCAAATTTATTTATTATTTATTTTTTTAATATATTTTTATTGATTTCAGAGAGGAAGGGAGAGGGAGAGAGATAGAAACATTGATGAGCGAGAATCATTGATCAGCTGCCTCCCACACACCCCCAACTGGGGACCAAGCCCGCAACCCGGGTATGTGCCCTTGACTGGAATCAAACCTGGGACCCTTCAGTCTGCAGGCCAAATCTCCGTCCACTGAGCCAAACCAGCCAGGGTTCAAATTTTTTATAAATGACTAGAAGACTTACTAACATTCAACTTTATTTTTTTTTAAATATATTTTTTCTGAATTTTTACAGAGCGGAAGGGAGAGGGATAGAGAGTTAGAAACATCGATGAGAAAGAAACATCAATCAGCTGCCTCCTGCACACCCCCTACTGGGGATATGCCAGCAACCAAGGTACATGCCCTTGCCTGGAATCGAACCTGGGACCATTCAGTCCTCAGGCTGATGATCTATACCAGTGGTCGGCAAACTCATTAGTCAACAGAGCCAGAGTACAACGATTGAAATTTCTTTTGAGAGCCAAATTTTTTAAACTTAAACTATATAGGTAGGTACATTGTTATTAACTTAGAGTACTCCTAAACTGGCCTTTGCTAAAAACATCCTCAATCTGAGGGGTTGACCTCAGCGAACGTAACCCCACTTCTTCTAATGCCACTTCAAAATAGACTCACCCAGGCCGAAAACCGACTTCTGCACATGGGCCTCGAAGTTTCAATTGCACTGTACGTGCGCACCCGCACGTGGTAGAGCCACCCTCAAGGGGCCAAAGAGCCGCATGTGGCTCACGAGCTGCAGTTTGCCGACCACTGATTTATACATTGAGCCAAACTGGTCAGGGCTCAGCTTTCGTAATTTAAAAATGTATCCAGCTCTGGCTGGGTGGCTGGAACATCGCCCTGTACACCAAAAGGTTGTGGGTTCAATCCCTGGCCGGGCGCATACAGGAGGCAATCCATCTACGCTTCTCTCTCACATTGATGTATTTCTCCCCCTCAGGTGAGAATTAAAAAATAATGTGTCCATAAATAATCCAGTTAATTAGGTTACAGAGTTGAAACCACTAATTAAAAACTCAGGAGACAAAGATGGATATCAAATTATCTTAGGAAACTGAAGAAATAATTCATAACACTCTAATAGAACATACATAAGATTAAACTGTGAAAAAAACATGTTATTCTAAAAATAGTAGCCAATAAAGATTAAAAATACAGAATTATTAAACATCACTTATACTGTATTTTCTGGAAAAGCTTTTTTTTTAAATGACTGTATTTGAGTTATACATACCTGCACGTCCACTCTCTTGGTAATAATTTTCCATAGATTTACTCATTGAATGATGAATAACAAATCTCACATCTGGTTTATCAATTCCCATACCAAATGCAACCGTTGCCACTACTACCTAAAATGTTTTAACATTTCATGTTAATTAAGTCAAGCGAAAATACTCTTAAAGGTGAGTTATGTTTCTATTGAAGATATATACCTAACCTGAATTTCATTGGCTGACCATCTTCTGTGAACCTTGGTCTTATCTTCTGGTTCCATATTGGCATGGTATGCACCTGCACGAATTCCCAATTTCTGTAAACTACCTGTAACTTGCTCAGAGTCCTTCTGAGAAAAGCAATAAATGATTCCTGTAGTAAAATATGTCCAATTGTTAGATTTATAATCCTGGAAGAGAATTTTTAACACTCAAAATAGTGATTACTGGTAATACAGGGGAAAATAATTTATGAAAAATTTCAAGGCCCCGACACATATTGATTTTTTGGTATAATTCACGATTTGATCACCAGCAGACATGAGCCCTGAGCCACAGGTGTTGGATCTCATTGCCTCTTTCCTCTCTCCAACTTTATTCCCCACTACAGAGTATTTCTCCAACTGATGCCTCACAGCTCCATAAGAGGTTAGCAAGTGTTCTGTGAAAAAGGTTCCAGGTGCAAATGAGTTTGGGGAGCAATGCATTAAACTAAGTTAAGTTTCTCTCTTTGTTTGTAGGGCTGGTCAAAACAGATACACCCTGTGACTCTCAGGAGAGATAAATAGCTAGTTGCAGCCTTTTTCAAACTTATTTGACCCTGGAACTCACTTTACCTGGAATACCCATTCATATCTCCTGAAAATCTATAGAACAGTTTTGAAATGCCGCTTTTATACAAACTCTTTCCTTCAGTAATACTTGCCTGTTCATTAATCCTGAAACACAGTTATACATGCTCTGAACTCCATCTATACTTAACTCATTCAATATGTTCTATTTATTTCTTTAACATGTCCTTTACTATAAGGGACTACATTTTACATCCCTTTTAGATCATCAGTGGTTACTTCTATCTTATACACAGTGTATACTTACTAAATATGTGCTACTGAAAATTAACATTATGAAATTAGGTCCATTCCTTAAAACAATTAAGTGTAAATAAGCAAAAATAAATCAGAAAGTTAGCAAATGCCACATACAGTTTCTAAGATGGCCAAGCAAATTAATTTTACCATAACATGTTCAAGTATCCTCTGCCATGCATTACCTTAATATTTTTTGGTGCTAATCATTTATCAGTATATCAGTATAATATTAATTACTTTTTGAAAGTTCTCTCTGTCTAAAAAGTTGGTTTGTTATTTTATTACCTGATTGCCCTTTGTATCTCCCATTAATGACCTTTACAATATCCTCAATAAAATCTTCAGTGTTTGAAGGCTTTTGACGAACCTAAAAAAAGCTAACTTATTAAAAAGTAACTTAATGAGTACCAAGTAGTCACTTACTTACATCTTTCAAGGTGTGATTCTTTCATGAACACTGTGTTTTTTCCTATTATTCCTTCACTCACCCCATCTGCCTCACCCCACCACCTCCTAACTTCTTCTTCATCATTATTTTTTATTTTACCAGAGATGAGGAGGCACAGAAGCAGTGAATAACTTGTAAAGATGGAGACTTTATTTTCTAGTGCTACTTTTATAAAAACATAAACCATGTAATAACTATTCAATGAAAACCCAAAAATATTGTCTATTCTTAAAAGAACTAAAAAAGAAAAAAAACCTGTTAGGTTATTTAACTTTCAAAGTTATATATCAAATATAATCTAAATAGGAGGATTAGAAAATCTTTAATGGAATACTAATTTTGTATTATTTCATAATTAATTTTAATAGGATGTCATTAGGATCCTTGGTGTCCATCTATGCTCTTTTTCCACCCTTGCACAAGAAAAAATATAAATTTAACAAGGCAACATCTACTTAAACTAACAAAGAATATGCAGCACAAGAGATATCAGAAGAAGGCATTAATTAATGAATCTTATAATTACCTCCTGATTTTAAAAGCTTTTTAAATATAGTTCACTGTTACTCATGTAAATACTGGTAAGCACAATGAAAAGGTAACCTCTCTGCTACAACCCTTCACAGAAGTTACATACCTCATAATAAAGATTTGGCCTATTAAAAGAAGCTGTAAAAGTAAAACACTTCTCAACACACAGTATTTTTTGAGCATCCTTCAAAACATGACTGGTTGCGGTCGCAGTCAGCCCAATCAGTGCTGTGTTCGGGAACTGGCGCTTTAAGATACCAAGTGCCTTGTAATCTGGAAAAAAGAAAATACAAAGTGGCCCTCTTTCTGTCCTTTAAGGAACAGAGTAAATCACGCCTTTTAGCATGATGGAGATAACCAAGGACTGCTGCACTCTGACTGCCATAGCGAGCAATCTCAGTACCTCTGCAGGTGCAGCCTAGGCTTTTTGAATAGGCGGGCTTTCTTATACTTTTAGTTGATTCTTTGAAAACACTGTTCTTGGCCACAGATGGACTCCCTGTTGAAGAGAGGAAATACCTAACATTTCTAGTAAGCTATGCACTGGTCTACACCTGGTGAACAGGGGATTTAAGAGGCAGTGGGAGTAGCCATAGTATTTGAGACTATTGCAACTGACAAGAGATAAAAGAGGCCATCAGCCTAAACCCGTGGTCAGCAAACTGCGGCTGCGAGCCACATGCGGCTCTTTGGCCCCTTGAGTGTAGCTCTTCCTAAGCCTTAAGAGTACCCTAATTAAGTTAATAACAATGTACCTATCTATATAGTTTAAGTTTAAAAATTTGGCTCTCAAGAGAAATTTCAATCGTTGTACTGTTGATATTTGGCTCTGTTGACTAATGAGTTTGCCGACCACTGGCCTAAACCCTTCTATCACCAGAAGCATCCAAGAGTGGCAAGTTCAGACCAGAAAAAGCGTGGTGAGGGCACTGCTTTTTATATAACCTCTTTCAGGGGAACCATTCTGGGCTCAAACTTGTCACACACATCTACATCACTAGATAAGTTGCCCTTAAATACATAAATTATTTGGAAAAAAGTGAAAAATTGCTAAATGCTAAGGACTATGAAACTACAGAGAGAAAGTAACCATTTGAGAAGTTGTGAAGGCTTCCAGGAGCTAACATTTGAATTGGGTCTTGAAGAATAAGCAGAGTTCCTAGGAAGGGAGGAGGAAAAGATCAGGCAGAGGAAACAGCACACACACTGGCGTGAAATTACTCGAGAATTTGAGATAACAGCAAGCAGTTCGGTGAGGCTAAATCACAGGGTGATGCGATGCTTGGATCTATTGTCAAGGCCAGTAAGTAGGGAACTATATTCCTCTATGGTTGCAAGTTAGAACTAAAAAGTTTTCCCTCTAAAACCATGAACAAGGTAAGGATGCCCACTTCTCCACTTTTATTCAACACTAGAAACCCAATGCACAAAATTCGTGCAAGAGTAGGCCTTCCTTCCCCCCACCGCTGCTGGCACCGGCTTCCCTCTGGCACCCGGAACCTGGGTTTCCCTCCGGCTGCCAGCAGGCACCCGGACCCAGGCTTGCCTTGCAGCCCCGACTTCATCCAGAAGGTCGTCCGGGAGGACGTATAGAAGGATTCCAGTCTAATTAGCATATTACACTTTTATTATTATATAGTATTGGAAGTCCTAGCCAGAGCAATTAGGCAAGAAAAAGAAATAAAAGGCATCCAAATTAGAACACAAATAGAAATATATACTATACTCATGGATCGGATAATTAATACTGTCAAAATGAAAATACTACTCTAAGAGATCTACAAAGTCAATGCAATCCTTTATCAAAATACCAAGGGCATTTTTTCACAAAACTTAGAACAAATAATCCTAAAATCTATTTGGAACAACAAAAGACCCTTAGTAGCCAAAGCAATCTTGAGAAAGAACAAAATTGGAAGTATCACACTTCTGAATTTCAAACTTCACTACCAAGCTATAATAAAACAGTATTTTGCAATTTACTCTGTGGAGTAGTCTGGTTAAGATAGCAGGGCTCTTAGTAGAAAGCACAGTATATATACTGCCTGAAGCATTTAAATCAAATTAAAAAAAAATACCTGTGCTTCCAATATTTCTGAAGGTAGAAAATGATCTTCAGGCTATGAGTCTACTATCCTTGGGGAAGTATAAGAAAAGGTGAAAAGAGATCAGAACTAAAGGAAACACTAATATCGAAGGAGGTGGCAAAGGAAGAAGAATGAAGGAGGTAAGAATGGAAAAGAACAAAATAAAAAAAGTTACATATTAACCAAAAGAAAAGAAAGTGGCAAGGTGAGAGGTGAACAGTATAAAATGCTATTGAAGTTAAATGGGAAGAGGAATAAAGATGAGACCACTGGATTTAGCCAGTGGGAAATAGGGTCACTGGTGACCTCTGAGTAGGGTGGAGAAGGAGGAAGTGTGATCCAATAAACTCAGGAACCCAGGGGTCCATATGAGTGTGAAAGTAGGTTCAGACGGAAAAGAGGTTGAAATCATAAAGCAAGATTTTTTAATTTAAGATTTTTTTACATAGAACAGTTCTGAATAATCTGCTTCAGGCTATGACTGTAGGATTAAGTTGCAGGAGTAAAAAAAAAGGGTTATTAAGATATCCCATGGAACTTTACCTGAGGAGTTAGTTGAATATAGGTCCTAAAGTGGATGCTAACGACACTCAGAATGACAACTAAAGACAACTTTGAAGCAGATGCAAATTCCTCAATAGATGTGAAGAAGAACCTAGAGGTCAGTAAATCTTTATGGCTTAAAGGTAGAACAGTATTTTTGCTAACAGACATATGTTTTAAAGGACAAAGATAATTAAACTAAATACTACCTTAGAGGGAGTAAAGAGAAAGATTTTGCCTCTTGACTCTCCTTATATTAAGGCAAAAGAAAAGGAGTAATAACTACCCAAGAGGATCATTTTAATGGAAGCAGGAATTTTCCATCATGTAAAGCTGAGTAAGAAAATAGTCCCCAGTATCAAGTTTTCCAGCTACCACATACATACCAGGTCTGAAATCATGACCCCAGTGACTACAGCAGTGAACTTCATCCACAGCTATTCGGGTAAATCTCCTTGCTTCATAGGCTTTCTCTAGTCTTGACATAAACATTTTGCTTTTTGCAATTTTCTCTGGAGTCACATAAATTAGCTTTAGCTTGGAATTTTTATTTACCATTTCAGCATGAACCCATTTCACATGCTCCTATTGAAAGGAAAAATAGACACGATAGTAGAACTAAGCTAACAGACTGCAATACTAAATGGTAAAAGATGTTCATTACTCAAAAGCAATAGCCTGGGGCTGTTCAACAGCAGATATTTAGTTCATTAAAATGGAAACCAAGTCCCAGTACTTGGCAGTTGTGTAAATAGAATTTTAGCTATTTACTTACACCCAAACTGTTAATAAAGCATAATCTCATTTGACAAAAAAAGAATAAGAAATGAATGTCAAGATACTCAAATAAGCATTTATTCTATGACGGCGTAATTCTAAATTGTTTGTAATAACTATGACTACAAAGGTGTGTTTTTTATTAATCTTAACATTACATTTGCAACACTGCCTATCTCTGTGAGCATAATTTATTCTTAATTACCTGCTTTAATGATGCTGTCATATCTACTCTTAATCTTTTCTTTAGGTTTTATAAACTATCTTATTCATTGAATTAAAATTTTATAATGTGAAATACATATTTATATGTTATATATAACAATAATAAATCTTAAGAGATAAGTTACTATTTTATATAATATTTGTTACTATTTTATATAATATTTTGCTTTGTTACTATTTTATATAATATTTTGCCCAGTAGATGTCATAATTTTCCTTCTCATTTAATTAGGACTCAAAGAAGTGTAAAGAAACAATGCTGAATGTGATAGAAAGAGAAAATCAAAACTGCTTTCATCATCCCAGAAAGCAGTGTGTTAACTCCTTGAGATAGTCCTAATTTTGTTAAGAAATAGACAAAGTGTATTAAACATTTCAACTGGTCCTAAATGTCCCAGAAATCTTAGGGGAGCAAACATAAGGCTAGCTCCTCAGAAATGGGCAGATGCAAAAATAAAATACTACAACTTCTGGCAGAATAAGTATAAATGAGTGAGCATGGTTATGTTCCAATAAAACTTTATTTATGGACACTAAAATCTAAATCTCATAGTATTTTCACACTTCACAAAATGTATTATTTTTCTCTTAACCATTTAAAAATATAAAAATCTATCTTAACTCACAAACCATACAAAATAGGAAATGGGCTAGAAATGGCCCTTTAGCACTAGTTTACAACTCCTGATATAAGTAGTAATCAGTTTTAATTTTATAAGCAACTCAATTATAGTTAAGGCCCCTACTTCAGTGAAGACTTATAACACAATAAACAAATAATACAGAACCATACCTTAGAACTAGAAGCATTTAACATGGTAGCTGGAATTTCTAATTGTTTTAAAACCATTAATTGGTCTTCCATAAGAGAAATCAATGGGCAAATCACAAGTGTAAAACCTGAAAAAGAAAAATCGACTTTCAATTTTATACCACCACCAGAACAAGTTTCAACGAGTCACCTTCTTTACCATAACTTGTGGGCACTACCCATTAATTCAGACTAATTTTCAATGCAACTTTAGCAGTATACTATCTATTTCTTATCCTCATTAATATAGGAGGGAGATACAAATAAATGATCCTAAGCCAAATAAGCAAATTTAAGATTAAACAGAAATCTCTTCCCTTATTCAGTCCTACAAACATAAAGATTGATATTATATTTTGAATTTTGAATTCACTATCATTTTTAACAATCAGTATTGGTAATCTCAGTAAAATAATATAAAATACTATCCAGTTACATCAGGCAAAAGTTATTCCAAAGCTGCCTATCTCCCCATAAAAACCATAGCAATCTATAGAATTGAAAATGTTTCATGGGTATTCATCCACTTCCTGCACCAGATTAATTTATTCTGAATGGAAATCAGTGAACAGTGTATTGACTAAATGAAGTTCTGGCAATATATCTTGTTTCTCTTATAACTGAAAGTGTTGACAGCTACAAGAGTTATTCTACATTGTTAAAAACATATGACCTCATGTTCCTATAGTTTGTTCCTTAAAATAACCGCAGAAAGAGGGTAGTCCTGTTTAACTATTTTTTTGAATACTTAAAAATATATTAAGAGAGCCCTGGCCAGTGTGGCTCAGTTGGTTGAGCAACAGAGCATCAAAAGGTCCCTGGTTCGATTCTCCATCAGGGCAAATGCCCAAGTTGTGGGTCCGGTCCTGGTCAGGGTGCGTAGGGGAGACAACCAATCAATGTTCCTCTCTCTCTCTTCCTCTCCTTTCCTTTCTCTAAAATCAATTAAAATATATTTTAAAGTATATACTGTATATATATATATATATATATATATATATATATATACACACATATATACATATACACACACACACACACACATATATATATATATGAAGAGAAGTAACATTTCTTCAATTTAAAATCACTCTTTATTAATACATACCATCTGAACATAATGCTGGTAACTGGTAGCATAAGCTCTTTCCACCTCCTGTAGGCATAACAAGAAATACATCCTTTCCAGACATTGTTACATTAATAGTTTCAAGCTGAAGCAGTCTGAACTTCTCCAGTTTAAAGACATTTTGCAAAACATCTTTAACTTTATCAGACCATGGAAAATCTAGGAAGAGAAAAATAAGCTAAATATATTAGATTGTTTAGGACTATAAGGAGACACATGTGCATAGCTGCTTTTATAAGAGCAGGATCAGATAAATATATATAAGATTTTTAATACTATGGACAATTTAACTTTCATAAGAACAATTTTGAGATTAGTTTAAGTCACAAAACTAAAACAAAAGCAAATTTAATGATATACAGTAAGAAATCGTACCTCAGAAAAAAAAGCTAGTATATCAGGAAAAAATCAAAGCATTTGCCAGTTGAGAATTAACTTACACAAAAGAAGATATTTGAAAAACCATCTGAAAGTCAATCAAGGAATTCAAAGTATCATAAAATACTCAAATATCATGAGCAAAGTTAACCATTATCTGGGATTTTTGGTGTAAATATCTTGTTTACAAGTGAATCACTAAAAAATAAGGCCCGCAAAAGCACTGCAATTCCTTCTCAAGTTATAGTATTCCTTTTATGATTTTTTTTGGTTGTTCATCAATGTTTATTTACTTTTCAATTACAGTTGGCATTCAATATTATATTAGTTTCAGGTGTACAGTACAATGGTGAGACATTTATATAACTTACAAAGTGATCCCCCATAAGTCTAGTAACCACTTGACACCATACAGTTATTACAATATTATTAATATTTTCTATGCCGTGCTTTACACTCACATGACTATTTTGTAACTGCCAATTTTTGCTACTTAATCCCTTCACCTTTTTCACCCATTCCCCCAATCACTATCCTATCTGGCAACACTCTGTTCTCTGCATTTGTAAGTCTGTTTCTGTTTTATTTTAATTTTTAGATTCCACATATAAGTGAAATCATGTAGCATTTGACTTTCTCTGTCTCCCACGAAAATTAGTGACACACATGATGCTCTGAAGGAACTTAAATCAAAAAAGGTTTGTTCAGTAGAGCAGGGAAATGAACTAGACTTCGGCAAAAAATTTGAATTTTTTTCTTAATCGTTTAATTTTGTCTAGTGAAAATTTAGAAAATTTAGTTAAAATAAGTATCTCACTTTTCCAAGCATTGATTCATGCTGTTAACATTAATGCTGTTAACCATATTTGGGAAAAAAATAATAGTCTGAATAATAAAAGCTTAATTTTAAAAGACTACAGAACATGGGTAAGCTTCCCACGCCATTTAAGGAATGGCCAGTTTCACCTCTAAACGTACTGGAAAGCACTGACCCTGGTACAGTGATTTGACTCCAGGTTAAAGAAAGAAGAAAAAAACTAGCAAAGAAAAAAAGAATAAACCTTCTTTATTCCAAGAGGCAGGTGAAGAATCACATTCATTGCTTCCCCCAGCATCAGAATCCTCCAAACACTGCTTTATTCTGTTTGTTAGGATGTTTTTTTTCTGAGTAAGCTCTTGTTGCCTCTCCAGAAGTTCCTGAATTTGAATGTCTACTGCATGTAGCTCATTGTTCACTGAATCCAATTCCTCAGTTAGAGCTATGAGGGAGGAAAAAAGACATAATGACAACACAGTCAATTACAATTTTAGGTTTCCCTAATAATTTTTTAATATTCCTCACCATCGAAATCACAGACAAGCTTATAAATTCTGCAGTGTGGTTAAGAATATTGTTTTGGGGTCACACAGACCTGACTTACTAGTAAATCTCAGGTCCTCCTCTTACCTGCTGAGTGACCTCAGGCAAGGTACTTAACTGAGCCTCAATTTCCCCATCTGTAAAATGGGGATAAAACCTAGGTTTCATAGCACTATTATACAGGATTAAGTGAGATAACATATTGAAGGTTCTTGACACAGTACCTGGTACAAGTTAAGCATTTACAAATGATACCTATTTTAATTATATTGTAGGGCAGTGTCCCAACAATCTCCTAAATCAAGTAACCCAACTATGAAGCAAACGCAAGCTATTTAAAAGCAGTCCCCTAACTTCTTAGCTATTATTTCACAAAAACATTCACATTTAGGCTCATATAGTGGCATGATAAGGATTCAATAATTATAAACAAGATGATGTAACAAGTAAAAAAAGAAATCATGTACTATTAAAATTAACATTACAACTCCATCATTAATTTATAAAGAAGCCTTAATGTATTCTAATCAGACAAAGTCAAAGTGAGATTCCTTTTGATACCATATCAATGGAAGCTGTAAAAAATTTAAAGATGTTGTTGGTGTGTCCAAAACATCTGCCTGCACTATTCAGTGTTCATTTTTAATGCCTTTTCATGAGATAAAGTCTTACGGTTATTTAAAATCGGATGTTGTGGTGACTTTGTATTGTACCAATGGCCAGAATTCCCTTCCCTGTAGGATTCTGGGTTAGGATTGGCCACAAGTGAACTCTGCATGAGATTTGGAGGGTGGAAAAAAGAGCAGGCTGATTTACATTCAGATGGTTGGCATAAGGTCAAATGCTGTTGCAGCTCACTCATGTCGTCATGGATCTTCTGCCTCACCTTGTTGGCATGGGACAGAAGCCAGTTCCTCCAGGCCCTGATGAATCTCCCCAGGGCAGTAGCTTGGCCCACAGCTTCTCTGAATCCTTGACCAACTTCATGTGCAACTGGCCGTAGCAAGTACACCAGATCTTCGGCAAGGCACCAGCATCCATGAAGTCAGATCCTTGTAGGCAGTGACACACCATGATTCCCAGTGAGAAACAGGGTTCCACATAGTCTTTGTGGGTTTCAGCTGATCCTTACCCACCCACACTTCACACCCATCTTCCCATCCCTAATGCTGGCACTACTGACTTCAGGTCCAGCAGGGGACTGCGCAACCAGCTCCAGTGATTATGCAGGAACTAGTCCCTATAAGAAATCCCTTATATCTGATTGAAACCTAGCCAACACCCAGTGCTGTTCCAGATGAACAGAAACTTAAGGGTGGGTTCTCTGAATTGCTTCTGGGCCACCTGAAATTGGGCCTCTGATCTGATCAGATTTAAAGATACTGATGTCCTTTGTTTGCAGTGATAAAAGGGGCAATGGTATTTCATGGCATGCAGTAGACAAAGTTATTTAAATTCTAATCTGTAGACACCAGTATAATTAAGTGTCATACTTAATTATACTGGTATCTTACTTAATACTTGGGTGGCCAAGTGTTTCCTGACACAGAACATTTTGGTGAAAATAATGGCAACGACTGGTTGCTTTGAAGTATGCTGGAGGACTTGGGGAGAGAAATGCAGGGCCTCAAAGTTGCTACAGGGTCAAGATTACTGAATACCAACCCTAAGTCTAAATCCTGCAGATGGCTGTAATACAATGTAAATTGAATTCCCAACTTTGCAGGGACTCCTATTAAAGTTAAGAACAAAGTGTCACTCTGCAACTGGAATGGGAACATCTGGGCAGATTCCAATGAAAAAAGGGACCTTGAGCACTAAATCTGCCAAGTCTCTTTTGCCCTTCCCTTTCTGAAACAGCTTTCTCCTGCCTAAATGCTTTTAATAGTCTTTCCTGAGGTGGTTGTTTTGCAAAGGATTGCTCATCTCCCTAAGGATCTCCCCCCACCACCTCTTAGTGCTTCAATACCCAGGACGCTCTAGATCAGTGGTTCTCAACCTTCCTAATGCTAAGACCCTTTAATACAGTTCCTCATGTTGTGGTGACCCCCAACCATAAAATTATTTTCGTTGCTACTTCATAACTGTAATTTTGCTACTGTTATAAATCGTAATGTAAATATCTGATATGCAGGATGTATTTTCATTGTTACAAATTGAACATAATTAAAGCATAGTGATTAATCACAAAAACAATATGTAATTATATATGTGTTTTCCGATGGTCTTAGGCGACCCCTGTGAAAGGGTTGTTCGACCCCCAAAGGGGTCACGACCCACAGGATGAGAACCGCTGCCCTAGAGGCTGAGGTATTAAACGTGCAACCCATGAGAAGACACAAAACACACCAGAGTTGCATTTGCCAATATATATCACCAGAAACCTAGAGAATAAATATGGGAAGAGATCCTAAGGGTATTAAATCAGGGTGGATAGAAAATAATATTAAATAAAGCTTAACTTATTAGTATGGACTCGGTAAGAAATTCTGGAATTAAGTGTGCTAAAATAGTGCCCAGGAGTAGCTCTAATAATTTACTTAGTTGGTAGCCAGAAACCGGGCCCCAAAGATGAATATAAGAAAGTTGGATGGAACAACACAAGTGTAAATTCCAATGAAGTTGAAGGCCAGAACTTCCTGGGTATACTATACAGGAGGGGATCCAGAGGCTTGGGGAGATGGGAGTGCTAGAGTGGATTATCAGGTAAATTGATCATCCACTCTCTTGCTATACCCGCAACAGGATCCAGAGGATGCTCCCTTCACCAAGATCATGAGAAATACAGTCATGAGGGGAGCCTTAGCATCCCTGAAGAGCTCTGGAGTGGCTGTTCTCTGCAAGTCAGGAATGACAGTGGGAAGTACTGCATTTAAACTAGACAACCTGAATCAATGAGAATGATGGATTCTAAGATACAGAGACTAAATGATGGCAATTCATGACCAAAGAAAAGGTAGATGCGGTTGCCATACAGGCAACAGAGCAGCAGTAATCAGAATAGTCTGACTCTCAAAGGTCTTTAGCATTGGCTAGTTGGTCATGATGTTGCTGAGGTGGAAACAGATGATTAGATTTGTATAGGTAGAATACAAGGCCCTGATTCTGGTAAACATAAGTCTGATTTTAATCACCACAACAGTCACCATCCTTCATCCAATCCCCAGAAATGAGCCAATTTATAGGCCCAGAGTCCCTTGAATAAAGTGCAGGTTGGGGCCCTTTGAAGAAGGACTCTACTACACAGCTAAAACTTTATGCAGTAAATCTTTCCACTAGTCTCCTCCAGAGAAACTTATCAGGGAACTTGTGTATTGGGAAAAGGAAAATAAATTCTCAGAAATCATCGAAAATTGGCAATAAGATATAAGAACTGCAATACCTCTAAGACTTTCTTCCTTATTTTGATCCTATATAATAAAAGGATAATATGCAAATAGACCAAATGGCTGAACAATCGAACCAGTCGCTGTGACGTTCGCTGACCACCAGAAGGCGAGTGTGGAACATGGCGGGCGTTGGCCACAGTGGGATGGTGGAGCAGGTGAGGGGGGGCACCAGACCAAGGCGGGACTCCAGTAGCTGTCATCGGGGCGAACCTCTGGTAGTTACTAAAAATTCTTTGCTCCCGTGTGCTGCAGTTCTGCCCGGCACTTGCACCTGATGCTGGCACAAGCCCCACCCATAGCCACAGTCAGCGCCCAGTGCCGGTCCCAATCGGTAGGCGCTGTCAGTGGGTGCAAGCAGTGGCTGCCAGCCCCAATCACCCCTGAGGGCTTCTCCACCTTCCTCTGCTCCTGAGGGGCAATCTGGGCAGCAGCCACCACTCGCACCCGCTGATGGCACCAGCCCCACTCACACCCACTGCTGGCACCAGCCCCAATAGCTCCGCGCCATCAGCAGGTGCGAGTGGGGCCAGCGCTGTCAGAGTGTAGGTCAGAGCATGGGAGCAGCAGCAGGAGCGGGGGCTGCCGGCAGACAGGGGACCGGGGGCCATGGAGGGAGGGGTAGGGCGGGACACGGAGGATGGGCCAAGACCCGCCCCTGTGCCCACCACAGCCTCAGGGCACACAGTTCCTTTCAAGGTACACAAATTTGTTCACTGGACCCCTAGTATTTGTATATAAACCAAGTTTGGGTTTTTCATTCTTGTTGGTGGGGTTATTTTGTTGTTGTTTTTGTCCCTTCTCTTATGCCTCTAACATCAAAAAGAAAAAAAAGTGTCAATAGTAGCTAACTTCATATCTCAGGATTTAGGTGCAGCAGTTCTCAACCTGTGGGTCGCATCGTTAGAAAATACATCCTGCATATCAGATATTTACATTATGATTCATAACAGTACCAAAATTACAGTTATGATGTAGCAACGAAAATAATTTTATGGTTGGGGGTCACAACATGAGGAACTGTATTAAAGGTTCGTGGCATTAGGAAGGTTGAGAACCACTGGAGGATTATCAAGGAGGATGTGATTCATCAAAAAGAGGAATAAGCATCATCAAAAGATAAGTAGAATTTGTGCCCTCTTCTGTTAGTTTGTATCTGGTTGTGTACAGGATAGTTGGTGACACATTAAGCAGAAGCATCATTCTGCTACTTCCTTTATTTGAATACTAGAGGCCCAGTGCACAAAATTCATGCACTGGAGGAGGGGGGTCCCTCAGCCCAGCCTGCACCCTCTCGCAGTCCTGGACCGCTTGCTCTTTACTGCCCGCCTGCTTGCTGCTCCTTACTGCTTGGCTCACTGCTCCTTAGCGCTGCTGCGGAGGTGGGAGAGGTTCCCATCACCACCACTGCACTCCCCAGCCGTAAGCCCGGCTTCTGGCTGAGCAACACTCCCCCTGTGGGAGCGCACTGACCACCAGGGGGCAGCTCCGCGTTGAGCATCTGCCCCCTGGTGGTCAGTGCACATCATATCGACATGCCTCTTGCAATCTGGGACCACTGGCTCCTAACCACTCGCCTACCTGCCTGCCTGATTGCCCCAACCACTTTGCCTGCCTGCCTGATCGCCCCTAACTGCCTCTGCCTCGGCCCCACACCTGGGACCCAGGATTCCCTCCTCCAACCAGCTGCAGGCACCCCGGACCCTGGCTTCCCTCCCTCTGGCCGGCCGCAGGCACCCAGGACCAGGGCCGGCTTCGCACAGGCTGGCCACAGCCACAGGGGACCGCGGGCGAGGAGCTTCGCCCAGGCCACAGCCACAGGCACCCGGGACTGCAGGACAGGCAGATTTTCTCCCTCTCCAGTGCTGCAGGCTCTGGTGCCCAGGACTGTGAGGCGGGCGGTTTCTCCCAGGCATGGGCCTGGCTTTGTCAGGAAGGTCATCCGGATGGTCGTCCGGAAGACGTCCGGTCTAATTAGCATATTACCCTTTTGTTAGTATAGATTAAAAGAGTAGTCTATGGATACCCTGTAGGCAATGGGTGAAGTCTGGTGGCTTTGTACTGTGATAACTTAGCTAAGCTAGAACTACATTTCCCAAAATTCTTTCCCTGCATAGATCTAGGTTAGGGCACAGAGAACTCTGCCAAAGATTTGGAAGGTGGAAGTGATAGAGTGGCCATATTTGCCATATTTAAAAAGGCCACTGCAAAGTCAGGGCTGGTGACCTCATTGGCATGGGGCAGCACCTGTGCCCACAACTCCAGCTGCTGCTCGATATCCTTGGGAAAACAGCAGGGCTTGCAGCTCCTCCAGGTCCTATTGGTTCACCTTCTTCAGCTTCTCTGAAGCCTCAGCCAGTTGCATGCAACTTCATGTGAAGTACACCAGCTCTCTGGCATGCCTTCTGCAGCATCCAAATTGGAAGATGTGAGGCAATGAGACACTAATACAGATTCTAGTAAGAAACAGAAGATCATCTTCACAGGTAGCAGTTTATTTTTGCATTCCTCATCACATCCTCTTTTCCTGACTGCTGATTCTGCCAACTTCAGGCCCAGTGCCAGACACAGGAAACATACATAAAGAAAGAACCTAACACTTCCCACAATCACATAATCCCTTATATCACTCAGAGTGGCTCGCTTCTCTGATCAAACCCTACCTGACAGAGATGTAATGTCAATCCATGGTACAAAGTCACATCGTATCTTTGACAAAATCATGACTGCCTAAAAATATTAAAAGGTACAGCTAGTTGTAGTAAGTTGGGGTATTTTAATTTTTTTGTCCAAAATTATATCATCTCCAATGCTGGCATATACAAAACTTTACTATATGAAATGTGATTGAAAAGTCAAGTATATGATTTTAATCAATAATGAAGAGGGATTACAAGTACACAGGGCTTATTACAGCAACGGTATCTCAAGAGCACACTGAACTGAGTGGGGGTCACACTGCAGTGTTTCTAGGCTTACGGCTGATGCATGGGAGGTGCCATTCTTCAGAAAGCACATTTTCTAACAATATCACAAACTGAAGTTAACACTGAAAGCAAAGTGATTTACCAGCACTGAAGCTGTCAGATCCAAAGTAACAGACTACCTGAAGGCAACCTCAAAGTGGCAGTTCAAATACAGTTCAACAAATGGATAGAACAATAGAAGTTAGATTTCTTTGAAAGGGGTACATATTATGAAAGCAGTTATTTGAAATAAGCATCTCTACTTAAATAAAATTTACCTATTTCATTGTTCAGTTATTTTAAAGTCATACTCCACGGATAAAGCTGAAGTCTGAAGTAAAATAGCATATGCAATCCCAAAATGATCATGCTGAACTGAGTTGTGAGATTCAGTGACATCTCTTAAACCCTCATTTTAATCTCTAAGTAAAGACTGCTTGGGTTAGCATTTAACATAACTTAAATTCTGACCATTCATTATTAACCCTCAGGGTATGAGAAGGAGGCATGAGTCAAAGCCAAAACCTATGTCACTATTTTTTTATGTTTATATTGAAATAAATTATAAAGTGGGGGGGGGGGGATGGGAGACAGGGAAGGGGGAAGAGGGGAGGGACATGTCTCATATTTAAGAAAGCCCTTTCTTTAAAGTTTGAAAAAACTAATCTTGTCACCCTACTATTAGAACTAGTATGTATTAGCAAACTTTATATACACAGCACCCCTGCCATCACCTCTTAACCGAATAAATAGCAAGATATCACTAATAAGCTCAGTAGAATCTGGTCAAGTTTACAGGAACAAATAATGAATAGACATATATCAAAATACCAAGCGTATCTGTCTAGGAAAGGTAAAATGGATGTTTTTCTTTTATATTTTAAAGACATTTGAAATAACTCCACTTATAGGACTGTATCTTAAAGAAATAATCAGAGGAGCACACAAAACTTGCAATTCATAGATGCTCGAGGCAGAATTTTTTTATGTTTTAAAAATAAAAACAGTATAAAAGTTCAACAATAAAATATTATTTATTTAATGTCACTTCAAAACAACAAAATACAATGCAGGTATTAGAATATTTACAACATACAATTTATTCAATAATATGTCTATATTCTATATTTGCATTATGTGTTTTTAAATCATATTACAAAACAATATGTACAAAATGTTTAAAAATTTTAATAATAAATGTTATAGTATTAATCTCAACATAAGATTAGAAGTGATTGGTATTTTCTACTTTACAATTTTTAGGTTCCTAGAATTCTATCAAAAAACATATATTTTCCTTGGAACCCTTATGTATTGCTAGTGGGAATATAAAATGGTGCAGCCACCAAGGAAAATAGTAAGGCAAGGTACTCAAAAAAATCAACTTGTGATCTAGCAATTCCATTTCTGGGTATAAACCCAACAGCTGAAAGTAGGGACTCAGATATTTATACACCAATGTTCATAGCAGCATTATTCCCTATTAGCCAACAACCCATATGTCCAGGGACAGACAAATGGATAAATAAAAGACTTTATGTACATACAATGGAATATTATTCAGCCTTAAAAAGATACATGTTACAAAATGGATGAACCTCAAAGGCATTATGCTAAGTGAAACAATCTAGACACAAAAGGACAAATATTACATGATTCCACTTAAATGAAGTGCCTAGAACAATCAAATTCCCAGACAAAAAGTAGAATAGCGTTACCAGGGGTTGCAAGAAAGGGGGCAATCAGAAGTTACTGTTTAATTGGATACAGAGTTTCAGTGTGGGAAGATGAAAAAGTTTGGGAGATGGATATTGGTGATGGTGCACAACAATGTGAAGGCACTTCATGCCACTGAATTGTACACTTAAAAAAGTTAAAATGCACCCTGGCTCAGTGGTTAGAGGGTCAGCCCTCAAACCAAACCCTTGTCAGGACCCATGTAGAAGGCAACCAATTGATGTGTCTCTCTTACATTGATGTTTCTCTCTCTCTTAATGCCTCCTCCCTCCTTTCCACTCTCTCTGAAAAATCAATGAAAAAAATATCCTCAGGTGAGGATTAAAAAAAAAAAAAAGTTAAAATGATGCCCTGGCTGGCATGGCTCAGTTGATTGGAGTGTCATCCCATATACCAAAAGGTGATGGGTTCAATTCTAGGTCATGACACATACACAGGTTGTGGGTTTGATCCCCAGTCAGGGTGTTCACAAGGCAATTGATGTTTCTCTTTCTCTCTCCCTCTCCCTTCCTCTTCTCTAAACTCGATGAAAATCATATCTTTAGGTGAGAATTACAAAAATATAGTTAAAATGGTAAATTTTGTAATGTATATTTACCATAATTTCTAAAAATCCGAAAAAAAAACAGCCCAGCAGGTATGGCTTAGCAGTTAAGCATCAACCCGTGAACCAGGAGATCACAGTTCGATTCCCGATTCCCAGTAAGGTTGCAGGCTCAATCCCCAGTGGGGGGTGTGCAGGAGGCAGCCAATTAATGTTCTCTCCCATCATTGATGTTTCTGTTTCTCTCTCTCTCTCTCTCCCCCCCTTTTCCCTTCCTCTCTCTGAAATCAGTATTTAAAAACACACACTTTTTTTTTTTTATCTAAAAAAACAGCATTTCTAAAATCAGAAATTTCTTAATTTTTTAATTTATTGATTGACTTTACAAAGAGGGCGTAGGGGGAAAGATGGGGGGGGGGGGAGAGAGAGAGAGATTTGTTGTTCCACTTATTTATACATTCATTGGTTGATTCCTGTATGTGCCCTGACCAGAGATGAACCCACAACCTTAGCATATCGGGACACTGTTCTAACGGGCCTGGGCTATAATCAGAATTTTTAAAACAAATATATTTTAAATTTATTGTATTTTTTTATTAAGACTTTTAGAGCAGTTTAAAGTTCACAGCAAAGTTGAAGTGAAGGTATGGAGAAAAGCAAATATTTTTTTTCAAAGAACATACGAGTAGAAACAGAACAGAATGGGAAAAAAATGTAATTATTTCCACTAACCTGAAACAGACGCCATTCCAACACTGAATTAGAGATCCAAATTTCTTTCTAAAAATGAAAGAAAAATAATAGAAACATTTTTTTAAAACAGTACTACTGATTATGCTCAATCAATGATATTCTGACACGACTAAGCACAAAAAAATGTTAGAAAGTAACACTTACAGAGGACCCTTTAAAAAAAGAACTACATGGTTCTTACTAATTTTTATGGAAAATTCTCTATTTTTTGGAGAAGTGTCCAAAGTAACATCAACATCCTATATAATAAAAGGCTAATATACAAAATCGACCAAATGGCGAAACAACTGGTCACTATGACGTGCACTGACCACCAGGGGGCAGACGCTCAATGCAGGAGCTGCCCCCTGGTGGTCAGTGCACTCAGCCAGAAGCTAGGCTCACCGCTGGCAAGCGTGGTGGCAGTGGTGGGAGCCTCTCCTGCCTCTGCTGCAGCACTAAGGATGTCTGGCTGATGGCTTAGGCCCGCTCCCCGCACAAACTTCATGCACCAGGCCTCTAGTATAATAAGTACAAGGTAAATAAAACAACAAGAATTACCAGATACAAAGTGATGTAACAAAAAAGAGCAAATATTTGAGGTTTAATAGTACTAAACCATTGTGTGATTTTAGCAAAATTACACACCCAGTTCCTCTCAGCTTCTTTCCCTACTTGTAAAATTGGGATAGAACCTATCTTATAAATAACAAGTTGGATAGATTCAAATGTCCCAGGTTAAGCAAAATCTACCAACATAAATACCCAAATTAATCGTTTAACATTTTACTGTATACTTGCTTTAAAGACTTACAATTTAGGATCAATCTTTAAAAAGGATTTGGCATTCTATGGTGGGGTGGGGAGTTCATAAATTTCAGAAGAGAACCTGAAAAGCTCAGAAGTAGGAAAAACAAAACAAAACATGGTTTGTATTAAGGACCTCTAAATACCTATGAATGACTAAAACGTAAGAAAGAGTACATGTGGAAGGAGATGCGGCTTGAGAGTAGGAACTTTAGGTTGCCCATAATCCCCACGAACACCTCCCCTAACTCTGACATGGACAACCAACACTTTCTAAAAGTAACTTAGAATGTTCCCCAAAGGTTACTTCAGCATGACTCTACCTTAACCAGAATGCTGACCTTATGCCCTTCCTAACACAGAATTCTGAAACCACCACTAGGCTGGGAAGACAGGCAGGATTGTCTTTGCCTTGCTGAGTTTGGAATATAACCTGTTTGAAGTAGGAGGGTAAACCAAAGACTTTTAATTCTTTATCTATATAATCAGCTCTTGTGGAAACATAATTCTCCTTCCCTAGAGTGCAAAGTTTTCCCGCAGGGCAGGGGTTGAGTCTCTCCCCTTTGTATTCACATAGCCTAGCAAAGTACCCTGCATGTAGTTCAGGCTCAAGTTTGCAGAGATTGAAAGCAGAAACTATCTCCACTCTTAGGAAAGAATACATTCTATAACACACACACACACACACAGTTTTAAATTACTTCTTTGATTATACTGTAAAAAAAAACCTCATAAATTCCTTCCCCAAATGATGTGATTTAATATTAAAAGATACCTCAATATGGTCAGAAATTAATGAGCTACAGCAGGTCTGTCAGTCAGAAGTATAGCTAGGCAATGTAAAAACCACAAACAAACCAAGTTCAGCCTTGAAAACTACCTGAGCATTAAAAAACAAAAAACAAAAAACAAAAAAAAACACAGTTTGGTCACACAAGCAAAGCTTAACTGAGCTTACTTTGTATAACTAACTTAACCTGGGTCATTTCTCATTTAGCCTCTGGAAATGTGAATGAAACTTAAAGAGTTTCCCAAGGTTGACATGGGGTAACCACTAACCAAATTCCCTATCAATTTACAAAATGTTAATACTATACCCAATCACTGTGAAGATAAGCAGCCACTACCTTCTCACTATATCAGCTGTTTTAACAACACACCCCTGAGCCTCATTACATGTTTTGGCGGGAGTGCTCCCGGTTAGCGAACTGTTTTTTTGTTTTGGTCGACAGCAAGCTTTCACTACTTCCATGACTCATCGGTTTCACTTCTGATGTTTCTGGATTTTTGAGGGCACCCACAGGAAATCTCTCACCGTGTCACACCCAGTCATCGATGCTGGAGGAAATGCCACTGAGGTGCCACAGGTTAAATCAGACACACATCCACCCCCCTTCCCCCGCCACCTGTGTTTACAGACAGCCGCAATATAATAATACAATAATATAATAATACCCTCCCAACGGTGTTCCCAATAAACGACGGCTTCCAATCAACAGGCTCTGGTGACCAAGCTTGCTGCATGCAAAAGGCTGGAGATCAAACGAGCGTGTCCTAAGGGCCTGGGTTCCCCTGCTGTCTCCCCTGCCAATGTGGAAGGCAGTGACCCCTGACAGACGGGCCTCGCCTTCAGGCAGGAAGAGGGGAAACCAGCCCTTTCAAAACGTAACCGGAGAAGCCGTTCAGGAACCCCGCACCCGGGCCTTCCAGACCCCCGCCCCACCTCAGCCTCCGATCCCAAAGCGCCCCGAACTCAGAACCACGCGCGACTCACGCGTAAAAAGTTCCCGCCACCCGGCTTTCTCCGCACTCCAGCCGCGGGCATCCACCCTTCCGGGTCGGCCCGGTCCACCAATGGCAAGTCAGACCCTTCTCTCATTGGCCAAGGGGCGTGGCCTCCCGCGCGTCACCGAACAAGCCTCCACATCATTGGTTGATATCGGGAGCGGATTGAGCCAATCGGAAGCCGCCTCCAAGCTGGGATGGGGATGGCTGCGTGTTTCCGGAAGACGTGGCGGCTGTCTCTTGGGTTGCTTCCCGGCTTCAGACTCGCGTCTTTGCTTCACGCCTTGGGCTCCTCGAGGTGCTGTCCTCACCCCAGCAAGGACCCCAGCAGCCATGATCTCCTTAACGGACACCCAGAGTAAGCGCCTGCCCGGGGGTCCCTGCCTGGAGCCCCACAGACCCTTGGCTGGGGCGGGGCGGGGGCTCGCCCCCCCCCCCGTTTCCCCCACCCCCCGGTGCGGGTAAATGAATGAAGCTCCGCATGGGGAGCGGCGGCCCGCGAACCTGAGCTGGGGCTGTGGGAACCTGCCGGGCTGCGATGGAGGGGCGAGGGCTGGGCTTGCGGGGGCGGACCTGGCCTGGGAGGAGAGGCAGGGGGTGTGGGGAGGCGCCGGGGCCGGGGGAGGGGGAGCCCTCGCCCGGGGTCCGGCCCGCGCGGCTCTCTCGTCCCCAGGGAGATGGGCGCTTTGTTCCCGCGGACCGTCCGCCGCCAGGAAAAGTTTGCTGTGCGGCGTCCGCGGCCCACTCTCGAGGACGTTTCTGGACTTGACTGGCGTGGGGTCCTCTACAAGTTACCGGCTGGTTGTCTGGGAGGCGGAATTTTAAATGCCGCCTATTGTAGGCTCTTTTTGAAAATATGCCCACACCCAAAATCTATTGAATTATGTGCCTTTGCCAGCAATGGAAACAACCTTCCAAAAATCCCTTGAAATGACTTCACTTTTCTACGAGCTAAATGCTCCCACAATAGTCAAGTGTCACTTTGCGTTCATTAAAGGATTTCTTTTGTTAATATTGTATATTGTGCTTTGTGGCTGGTTTGATCATTTTTAGCATCTCTTTCTGCCTGCCTGCCTCGGAGTTCTTCACGTCTATGTTGTCTCTGAGGTTGGCATTGCTGTGTGTTCCTTTTACTTTCAATATAACATCGCCACTTTTCTACTGTTTACCAATCTTAATCATTTTTATTTACATGACCTGCCCAACCCTGTGCTACCTGTTTTGGGATGGTTGAGGTCGTCTTTTTGTCTCATTTTGCTTTATCAGCCACGCCTTTTATTTCTTATTCTGGTTAACTTACTTGGATTTTCAAGACTTTAAGAACCAAACAGTCTGTTGAAATGAAAATAATACTTCATTTTAAGTGCCTATTTTAAAGTGGAGTACTAAGGTTCGGTTTCACGCCACAGCCCACTTGAACTTGACAGAGCTCCTAAGGTCCTGCGCCCCAGTCAGGCTTCCTTCCTCCCTGAGATTGGACCAGTCTGCACCTTAGGGCCGCTTGCCCTGCCCAGGAAGAGTGCTCATTTTAGTCATTTGGCCTTATCTGTTCTGATCAGAGAAAACCTAAGTATAGTTCTTTAAAAAAACAACAAAGCAACTGTTATAATAAAAACTAGCAATATCTGCTTTCATATAAATCATTACACTTAATTCTTATAAGAGCCTTATAAGGTAGAGAGGAGTATATCTTTTTTATAAATTAAAGGAGACAAAAGAAATTCAATGCATGGTCATAAGTAAAGTTATAGAAACAAGACTTCATCCCAGCTCTGCTGGCTTAAAAACCTTTGTTCTTTTTACTGTATCCTACTAGCATATGAAAGACGATATAAACTTTGAGATCTTAGAATGATGAAATTCTTCCATAGCAAAAGTAGTTTCAACAGTAGTATAGATATTTATCTTACAGAATCATTCATTTTTTGGAGAAATTTTGTAGGATATTCAAAGCCTATTTTCTTTATGAAACACAGTGCCCTGTTCCTCTTGATTAAAACCCAAAATTAAAATTAGGTTGCCCAAGGAAATTAGCAGAATTATGTACATAAATTGCTAGAATTTATTTCTAATTCTGATTACTTGGAGGAGGTACTTAAACTCTACATAGCTTTCCTTTCTAACTATGAAGTAGTATTATTACTCCTGAGTCCACGATTATTACCTAGATAAAAATGTGACTTTTTTATCCTGTGCATAGGCATTCTCTTATGTTGAAGACATAATGAAAAGTGCCTGATTTACATCCTTCCAAAAACCAGAACAAGAGAGTTGGGTTGGAATATGGGCAGGGTAGTAAACATTCTCCTCACTTCATTAAATTGATGAGGAAGATGATATTATGCTCTTTGCTGCTCTTCTGCCAAATGTTTTGGATAGAACAGTGGATTGGAACACAAAATGATTAATGAACCAAAAGCTCTTTGGACTTCAAATGGTGCTTGTATGTGTGTTTAACTGCAGGAATTGGCCATCATTCAAGTGATTTGCCAAGATTTTTCTGGGATTCTGATTCTGGGAGAGGGTGACCAACTACTGATCTCTAAAAAAATCAATAAAAACTTTTTTTAAAGGCAAAAAACAATTCAGGCCTGTTTTAAGGGATCCTATAATAGCATCTTCCTTCCCCCCCCAAAAAATACAATATTTATCAAATGGGACAGAGTGGAGCAGTTCCCTTGCTGCCACTAAATCTTTATTTTATTATGTCACACTAGGGGCCCAGTGCATGAATCCGTGCACCTTGAAAGAAACTTTGGGATGCAAAGCTGCAGTGGGCACAGGGGCAGGTCTCGGCCCATCCTCTGTGCCCCCGCCCAGCCCCTCCTGCTGCAGCCCCAGTCCCCTGTCTACCGGCAGCCCCTCCCACGTGCTGACAGCACCAGCCCCACTCGCACCCACTGACAGCGCCGGGTGCCAGCTGCAGGTGTGAGCAGGGCCGGCAACAGCAGTGGGTGCAAGCGGTGGCTCCAGTGCCGTCAGCAGGTGGGAGCAGGGTCGGCGCCAACAGCAGGTGCAAGTGCCAGGCAGGACCATGCAGGAGCAAAGAATTTTCAGTAACCACCAGAGGCTCGCCCCAATGACAGTGACAGGCACCCCACCTTGGTCTGGCACCCCCACTCACCTGCTCCACCATCCCATCACTGCCGATGCCCGCCATGTTCTGCGCTCTGCTGCCTGCTGCTGATGCCCACCATGTTCCGGGAGCGCCCCCTCGTGGTCAGCACACGTCATAGTGATCAGTTGTTCTGCCATTTGGTCTATTTGCATATTAGCCTTTTATTATATAGGACAGCCTGAAATTCCACCATGATATTCATTTGAGTTCAATTCAGTTGATAATTCACTTGAGTTCTTTATTCTGACATTTTCTGTTTTTAAAAAAGCATAGAAAGAAAGTGCTGCTTTAAAATATTTAAATCAGATACCTAAATGCTGACAGTAATTGCCATTGAATTAAGCGTATCTTTTCCTATAAAATTTCTACAATAAGCTGTTTATTTTAGACATTCATTTTATTAGATTGCTTTTATCAGATTGTTCATTAAACACATACATGGGCAAGAGGAATGAAGGTTTGATAGTGCCTAGGAGGAAGATAAACTTACTTTACTGGGTCTGATTCAAGTGGTGAGAGGGCAGCTCTGTGTAGGGGTTTAATAAAACAGTGGGCATATGAATGCACAGGCACAGGGAAGATGAGAAAAAGGCACAGTGAGGCCAGTTTGAGGCTTTTGACCCCTTTAGATCAGGGAATACTTGGCAACATCATGCTAGTGCCAGTTTTGGAAAAGATTACAAAGATCTGCTTGACTACATTAGATAAAGTGGTAGGAATGTTTTGATTTCCATGTTATAGTTGTTCAAACTGTGGAGTATTATAGACTGGATTTGAGTTCCCGGCCTGGTGGCATACCACCACCACCAACTGCCATTCCCCACCCCTGCAACTTCCCCCACATACACACTTGCTGATTCCATGATCAAGGGTGAGTTACAAATCTCTGTGAGTCTCTGGTTGCCCATATGAAACTTGGGGCTGCTGCTACTTTTTGTCTCACAATTTCTTAAAGGAATTACAACATAATTGTACAAACATTTCATTAAACGTAAAACCATATTTAGACATTGTCCTTTTTCACTGCAGTCAGTTTCTTTTTTTAAAATATGATTTTATTGATTTTGAGAGAGAGAAACATCAATCGGCTGCCTCCTTCTGCACATGGATTGAGCCCACAACTTTGGTAAATACCCTGACAAGGAATCGAACTAGTGACCTCTTGGTGCGCAGGAATATGTTCAACCAATTGAGCCACACTGGCAAGAACTACAGTCAATTTATAATAGTTCTCCTAACAACTACTTAGTTATATTAGATAAGCTAATTATATTAAACTTGAATCAACTTAAGACGATTCTCCCAGAAGTTCAGTGTACTAGTACTCTAATGATCTTGAGTTTCATGTAACCAAACATATTTAACCTGAAAATACTGTAGGTATGGTATAATGGTTAAGCACATAAACTTTGGATACAAATATATATGAGTTCAAATGCTTAAGGAGAAGTGTGACTTTAGGCAAATTAAGTCAGTTCTCTAAATCTCAATTTCTGGCCTGTCTAAAAGAATTTAATGATACCTACCTTGCAATAGTATTGAAAGGATTAATTTATGTAAGGTATGTAAAGCACCTTATAATAGCTACTTCTGTAAAATTCTCAATGCATATAGATGTATTTCCATATAATTTCCTTTCTGAACAAACATCTCACAATTTTGATGTAATTAGTATAATTTGTGAAAAGATGGGAATTAGTCATTTTCCTTTAACTCAGCTACCAATGATTAAATCCTAACTAGTCAGTAGTTACTTAATGAAATTTTACTTGCTCTTATGTCCATATTTTCCTCTGGAAAATTATGTCTGCCATCTAAACAGTTA